CTCCGTGAGCGTTTGGATGAGACCCTTACTGCCCACAGGAACGAGATTTTGGCCTTGCTCTCAAGGTATTTTGAAGCGGATCCTTCAAAGATTGTTTTCAAATTTGCATGAAATCTGTTTTTCTTTTGAAATGTTTAGATTTGTTTATAAAATTGTTGTTTTTATTGTAGGATTGAGGGTAAAGGAAAAGGAATTCTGCAACACCATCAAATTATTCTTGAGTTTGAAGCTATCCCTGAAGAGAACAGAAAGAAGCTCTCTGATGGGCCATTTTCTGAAATATTGAGGGCTAGTCAGGTAAAAGAAAACTTTTTTTTTTCTCTTTTCGGTTCTATTGTGACAAAGTCTTGATTTTGGTCATTTTTGTGTTGTAGGAAGCGATCGTGTTGCCTCCATGGGTTGCACTTGCTGTTCGTCCAAGGCCTGGTGTTTGGGAGTACATTAGAGTGAATGTCCACGCCCTTGTTGTCGAGGAACTCACTGTTGCTGAGTATCTTCACTTCAAGGAAGAGCTTGTTGATGGAAGGTAACTTGAAAAAGTTCATATTTAGTTGATTTATTTAATCTTTTTTATTAAGGTTGGTTTTAACAATGTTTCTTTACTTTGCTTGTAGTGCAAATGGAAATTTTGTTTTGGAATTGGATTTCGAGCCCTTCAATGCATCTTTCCCTCGCCCAACTCTTTCAAAGTCGATCGGTAATGGTGTGGAGTTCCTCAATCGCCACCTTTCGGCTAAATTGTTTCATGACAAGGAGAGCATGCACCCTTTACTTGAATTCCTCAGAGTCCACTGCCACAAGGGCAAGGTATGGCACATAAAAATGTTATTTGATTGTGTTTGTTATAAATATCAGTCAAAATAGTTGTCAGTGCATAGATCAGACATAGATTCTTGCATCAGATCCTTAGATGTACTAGGATCTTAGTATGATATTTAAATGATGGAGAATTCTATTGTTTATATGGATTTATTGGTGTTTTGCAGAACATGATGTTGAATGACAGAATTCAAAACCTGAATGCCCTTCAACATGTTTTGAGAAAGGCAGAGGAGTATCTTAGTACACTGCCTGCTGAGACACCATATGCCGAATTTGAACACAAGTTCCAGGAAATTGGTTTGGAGAGAGGTTGGGGTGACAGCGCTGAACGTGTGCTTGAGATGATCCAACTCCTTTTGGATCTTCTTGAGGCACCTGATCCTTGCACCCTTGAGAAGTTCCTTGGGAGAATCCCCATGGTCTTCAATGTTGTGATTCTTACTCCCCATGGATACTTTGCGCAGGACAACGTTTTGGGGTACCCCGACACCGGTGGCCAGGTTAGCCCTTTACAAGCCTAGTTTATAAAGAGATCAAGACTTGGATGATGTAGTTTGTGTATAAACTAAGTTTATAAACATGACTCTTTCAACTATTCCTTATAGGTTGTTTACATCTTGGATCAAGTCCGTGCTTTGGAGAATGAGATGCTCCACCGAATCAAACAGCAAGGACTCAATATTACCCCTCGTATCCTCATTGTGAGAGTTCTTGACTACTACTAGTAGTTGTAATCTTTTGTTTCGGGTTTCTTGACATATGATTTTGGCTCTTTTTTGTGCTTATTTCTCTGTTTCTTTTTCAGATTACTAGACTTCTTCCTGATGCTGTCGGAACAACTTGTGGTCAACGACTTGAGAAAGTATATGGAACAGAGTATTCAGATATTCTTCGAGTACCCTTCAGAACAGAGAAAGGAATCGTGCGTAGATGGATCTCAAGATTTGAAGTCTGGCCCTACTTGGAAACTTATACCGAGGTGAACCATACGAAGATCTTCGTGTATTCATTCTCAAGCATTAATTATCCAATTTCTACTATAGTATATTATGTTTGTTTTATTTACAAGTAAATCTCTTTGTTTTATAGGATGTTGCTCATGAAATTTCCAAAGAGTTGCAAGGCAAGCCAGATCTGATCATTGGAAACTACAGTGATGGCAATATCGTCGCCTCCTTGCTGGCACACAAATTGGGAGTTACTCAGGTTTGTTAGAAACTAATTTATTACTATGATCTTTTATGCGTTTATATTTGATCATATTTCGGCATGATGACTTTGTTTTTTTTTTTTTCACTTTTATGTAGTGTACCATTGCCCACGCTTTGGAGAAGACAAAATATCCAGATTCAGATATATACTGGAAGAAGCTTGAGGACAAATACCATTTCTCCTGCCAATTTACAGCTGATCTTATTGCAATGAACCATACAGATTTCATCATCACCAGTACTTTCCAGGAAATTGCTGGAAGGTAGATGATCTGCTTTCTCAGTACTTTGATTTGATAGTTTCTTGAAATGCTTTTTGATCTCTAGACATTAATATTCTTAATGATTTCAGCAAGGACACTGTTGGACAATACGAGAGTCACACTGCTTTCACTCTTCCTGGTCTCTACCGTGTTGTACATGGGATTGACGTGTTTGATCCCAAATTCAACATCGTGTCCCCTGGTGCTGACATGAGCATTTACTTCCCTTACACCGAGGAGAAGAGGAGATTGAAGCATTTCCATCCCGAGATTGAAGAACTTCTTTACAGCAAAGTTGAGAATGAAGAACACTTGTGAGTGCACCACACCTGCATGTTATTTTAGCAAAACCAATTACGAAAATATATCTGTTTGAACTAATAATTTGTGTGTCAATGTCCCACAGGTGTGTGCTCAATGACCGCAACAAGCCAATTCTATTTACAATGGCAAGGCTGGATCGTGTTAAGAATTTAACTGGACTGGTTGAGTGGTATGGCAAGAACGCTAAATTGCGGGAGTTGGTCAACCTTGTAGTCGTAGGTGGAGATAGGAGAAAAGAATCCAAAGATTTGGAAGAGAAGGCTGAAATGAAGAAGATGTTTGAGCTGATCGAAAAATACAACTTGAATGGTCAATTCAGATGGATATCATCCCAAATGAACAGAATTAGGAACGGTGAACTTTACCGTTGCATTTGTGACACAAAGGGTGCTTTCGTACAACCTGCATTGTATGAAGCCTTTGGATTGACAGTTGTTGAGGCCATGACTTGTGGTTTGCCGACATTTGCAACATGCAATGGTGGACCTGCAGAGATTATTGTTCATGGTAAATCTGGCTTCAACATTGATCCTTACCATGGAGATCAAGCTGGTGAGATCCTTGTCGATTTCTTTGAGAAGTGCAAGACAGACCCATCTCACTGGGACAAGATCTCCCAAGGAGGCTTGAAACGTATCGAGGAGAAGTAAGCTCACAAAATTTTCTCTTCTTTTTCTTTTTGCCTACGTTGAAATTACATGTTGTTCTTATTTCTTTTTGCATTGTTGAAATCAGGTATACATGGCAGATTTACTCCGAGAGACTATTGACCCTGACTGGAGTGTATGGCTTCTGGAAACACGTTTCCAACCTTGAACGCCGCGAGAGCCGTCGTTACCTTGAGATGTTCCACGCTCTTAAGTACCGCAAGCTGGTAATAATTCTCATGCCCCCATTTCCTTCATTTCAGTCTCTTCTCTTTTTATTGGCTCCAATTGTAAGTTGTTAATTGTTTTGTATTTGTTACAGGCTGAATCAGTTCCCTTGGCAGAGGAGTAAATTGAAGCCGTTGAAAACAATGGGCCGGTTTTGCCTGGAGCGGTTTTCGGAGAATAATCTTTGTTGTTTTGGAATTTTGATTGGACAAAAAAAAAAAAGCCTATTGCTTTTCTTTTTCTTTTTTTTTTTTCAGCAATTGTTTGAACTTGGGGTTTTGCGCCCGTCAATTCAAGCAAAAGATTGTGCGGCTTTTCTTTTTCATGTTTCATCTTTTTTGTTAGTCGTTTTCTCTCCTTTGTTTTTATTTGAAACGCCATACAGCAATGCCATAAAACCATTATCACAGCGTTCAGTAACCGTTATGATGGATTGGAGGGTGAAAATGATTGGTTTGAATGATGCCAAATGCTGCATTTCATGTCAGTCGGGCAAAGTGCAAACCATATTTCCTACAGATTAGCCACTTCAATGGAACAATTATTAAGCTTTGGATTGATTATCAACTAGTTTGTCTAAACAAAAAAATAACTTATTACTGATTAAATTATATGAAAATTACGGATTATATGTGTACTACTTAAATATCTCCCATCACGGTTTGATAGTCTTGGGTGAGTTTAGATTTGATTATGATTTTTTTCTACTCATTTTTCCTTCTCTTTAGGAGACGTGACTTTACATCAGTGAATTTAGTTTATATGCTGTTGCAGTAAAAATTTTAAGTGTTTTAATATTATTATAAAAAATATAATTATTATAATGAAATGTTTTAAAAAATATGTATAAAATAATAAAAAAAAAATTACCTTCTAAAGATGCTTTTAAATCACAAACACACCTCCAAAGAATTTAATTGATTTGCAAAATCACACAGTTTTACTGCAAAGCTGAAGATTGGCGTTGAAATTGCGGTAAAAACGAACTTCGCTTTTAGACCTTAATGATAAGCGGGGACTAAGAAACTTAAAAAACCAGCATATAGTTTAAGATTACTGCTATTCATGTATAATATAACATGATTGAGTATGCCTGGATGCAATCAAATCGAGTCGAAACGATACAATAAAAAATTCAAACTCGACTTTTAACTCGTGATTCGATATTCGATTCGAATTAGATCGAATTTTATTTTTTTAACTCGAATTCGTTTCGTGATTGAAATCGAACTACTCGAGCTCGCTCGATTAATATGTAAAAATAAGTTCGATTCTTATACTCGATAAAAATTCGATTATTTGTGATCGAACTCGAATTCAAAATATTTTATTAATTAAAATAATAAAAAATATTTAAATATAAAAACTCAATTAATCTCGCAAGCTACTCGAACTCGACTCAATCAATGAATCGAGTTATTCAAATTCGACTCGATAATAATCGTATAGAATTCGAATTTTATTCGAATCGAATTCGAATATCGACTCCGAATAACTTACGAGTATTAATGTATCATTTACACCTTTAAATATGCCTTGTTGCCCTTGACAAAATTCATGCCTAACCTGAGATACAAGTTTTATGACCATTCGTCAAAAGAAATGAAACAGAAAATCAAAAGGGAACTACTTGTATACGTATTACATATTGCTATTCCTTTACAAAATTTGCCTTTCAATTTGGCTTTCAAAATTTACCAACCGTACATTGATATCAGTCTCCATGCTACAATATCCACATTTCAATGTCCTTATATCCCCTCTGATGCATTTTTGTATCTCATTTTCCTTTCGCTTTCTCCTTTCTAAGTTTTTCCTCTTACTCTTTACCCGCTATAGAAATGTTTCCCCAACACTCCCAAATACAGACTAGGCAGTCACAATTAGACAAAACTGTTCAAAAACCAGAAAGCTATAACCAAAAAAATGCAGCAGTTATCGTAGAGGCTGGCTGCGCTTCTAACCGGAAAATTCTCGATTTTATTCTTGTTTGGTATTTTTCAATTTCTGTGGCAGAGGTTGTCTTGGATAGAAAAGAATTGCCAACAATAAAGTTAATGCAAGACCTACTAATCCACTAAAAGTTTGAAAGAGGAAAGTTGATGTTACCCAGAGAGGATAGTTGGCCTTGTAAATTATAAAGCCACTAGTTTGTAAAAGAAAACTTGAAGCCATTATCCCAGCCCGCAACCCAATCGGAATTGAGAGGCTGCCATCATTTCTTTGCCGAATGCCAGACAAAGCTAAAGATAAAAGCCATAGACTAGGCATCGCCATCAGAGACCTGAAATCCCATCGAAACATAGTTGGGGCAACTGTTAGCGAAGGCCCTTCTTTTTTCATTTTTAATTTACAAATCTATTACATGTCTATAAACAAAGGAATTACATCTAAAGAATACCTCATACAAAAAAAATGGGAAACAAGAGAAAAGAGAATGTGATGCTCCATAAAAGCAGATGATGTTACCTCTGGAACAAAGAAAATGCAAGTCCGGATATAATAATTCCCCGATGATAGCCAAAATCTGCAGCAATTTCGTCAGGCAGCCAGGATCTAAAAAGCAGTTCTTCAACAAGCACAATACCAGTTGCAGTTACAATTCCTTGAACAGCTAACACAAGGAGCTTTCCATACACTTTAAGCCTAGCAACGAAATCTAAAGATGATGGAAGAAGATTTGAAGGCCAAGACAAACTGACACAGCCAAACAAAGCATTTACGGATTGTATTAACATAACAAGCATGACTCCTCCAATCAAGCCCATGAGAAGATCTTTGATCTGCATGGAATAATATCAATATTAACTCACTCTGTCTATGATAATACGTAGGGCTATCCATAACTATTGAAGATAACATGTGCCCTCAAATGTCAAACCCCTAATTGTCCAGGTGCAGAAAAGCAACAACCTCAAAGACATAAACCAACATGCATACCTTTGATGATGATAATGTCAAATCCAGTCCATATTGCTCGAGTGGATTTTCATAACCACGTATTCTTTTGCCCCATAACATGACAAGTATCATGACAGCAGTGTAGAAGCCAATAATGGAAACAAGTTCAGCAAACTTTGAGGGATTATTTGTTGTCCAGCTCTGCACAAGAGTTGGAAGCAATGGAACAATAACAGGTGACCATAAAACAAGACCCATGCCAACAAAGCCAAGAATCCTTTGGGAAGAAAACAGGAGAAAAGAGGAAAAGTACAAAATCAGTACAACAAATAGTCAGATGACAACATAACACCTAAAACCCAGATATATATATATATATATATATATATATATATATATATATCTGAAATGTCAAAGGCGTGTGGTGTCAAGTTTTTAAACATTAAGCATCATTCTCTTGCCTGAACAATATTGATTATAACTTTTACTAGGTTACTCTCAATTATAAATCTAAACAGAATGCATTGAAAGAGAAAGTTGGGAGGGTCAAAAGTAAAGGAGGTTGGGAAGGAAGTCAGCCACTTTAATACCTTTGGTATAAGGGGCGTTCAGCCAAACGGAGAAACATAATAAGCCTGTCTGTTAGACTCACTGCCCCACGTATACCACCCCAAAGCAAAGCAATTTTACCAACTAGCCTCAACATGCCACCCCTTTGTCCCAAATCGGCTAACATTGCAACCAGCCTGCTGACAAAGATATGTGTAAGTAGAGTTTAAACAAACAAACAGACAACTTCAAATGTAACAGAAGTGTATATCAGACATATCATAAAGACCTTTCTTGATCCAATTCACCATCTTCCTTTGTAGGTACAACAGGACCAGCAACCGACAAGGCTTTCTCAGCAAGACTATTGACCATGTTGATTTGGTGTTTGTCAGCTACTCCTTCCTCAGGCTTTCCAGGCTCGTTATGCTGATGACTTTCCACCTTGAAGGTCTTGGATGAACTTTCTGCAGTTCCCTTTTCATCTAGTGGATCCTTCTCATTTTTATACACCAGCGAGCATGACAAGCACACAGATTCAGCAGAAGGAATAAAAATGCAGAAAAACAAATCAACATGCATGACATATAACAATAAAAAATTAGAAGCTTGAAATAAAAATCTTTAAATCAAAACTAATTCAACATTTCTTTGGATACTCTTGGTACAAATTGGATATGACTTGAACAGGCTTTTAACCATTTTGGCAATGTTCTTAAAACTAAACTAGTCATGGAACCCTAAAAGGAAAGGATCAAGGTCCAAAAGGTTCCTTGGGAATCAAACCATGACATAAACATCAAATAATATTTAGAAGCAATTAAATAAAAATAAAAATAAAATATTATAAGTAATTTCAAGGTAATAACAACCAAGTTCAATAGAAAATCTTTGCTGATAATAATTGTTGACAAACCTTTATTACTTGACAAATGTTGCTGAATTTTTAGTAACAAAACAAGGATAACTTAATCCTTGCTAAACCAGGCTTGTGCAGGTGGGTTTAGAAAGCCAACAAAAAACATATAAATGCTTGTAGACAAAAGTTCTAAAGAAATAAACTATTACCTTGTTTGGCATTAGCAAAGCTGACGCTCCTAGAGCTGCTGTAACAGCACCAACTATGACACCATCCTTGTTAAGGCCTTTCAAACCAGTTTCTACCTCTTTTTCACTACTGGGGCTATGCAAAGTACCATTTTGACCAGTTTTATAAACAGGTGATTGATCAAACTCCATTATACTAGTCTTCTCATGATTCTTTTTCCTAGATATTTTTGTTTTATTAGCAGCCTTAACTGCACTTTGATCATTGTCATGAACAGTAGAAATATGAAAATGCTTTCTCAAAGCAGCTAAGCTAGATCCTACAAAAACACCAACTGGCAGCACTCTCCTTAGATAACTTGTGCTCTGAACAGCAGATGAAATAGCCCTAATAACATTTTCTCCATTGATAGTACCAACTTTTTCTGGGGCCTTGTCAATAACATACTCTTTGCCTTCAAAATCAGTAAGCTCCTCATCATCTCCAATACACACAGACACTGCAGTTGCAACTGTTTCAATATCTATAGCAAGTAGTGATTCCATTTCTTTCATGTCAGATGCACTTAGCCTGCGATCAACTTCCACCCTCAAAGAATCCAATATAGTAACTTTTACAAGCTGCACTAATTCCAATTCCTCTAATCCCTCATCAGCATTGCCAGCACTTCCATTCATATTGTCTATCGTTTCAAACTCTCCAACAGGGTCATGCTGTCTTTCGGTATCTAATATTACATATGATGGTTCAATGTAATTTTCCATTTTGCTAACTTCTAAAGCTGGAGCCATAAGCTCTCTGCTACGAGTTGTAACATCACCAATAGAATCTCCATTCACTCCTGGTTGTTCCAAGAGCTTCCACTTACCTTCTTCTGGAAAGTAGTCGAGCAATAAAGCAGTAGTTGTATCTACATCTAATGGTTTGGTAGTTTGTTTTGAAAGCAAATATCTGTGGAAGTATTCACTATGCAGAAAGTCCTCATATTGATTTGCATTTATGTACAAGGGAAAGTTATTTACGGGTCTATCTGAATAATCAGCCAGAGGTTTGCATCCAACTATATGATCATTGTTTTTTGGCAAATCCAAACTATTACCTACAGTATTTCCCTGAGAATCATCACTATCAGTCCTCCCAGATGAAACAGGATTTTGTGAGGATTCCTTCTCCAGCCATTCACTTGTTGAGTCATCCTGCAAGTCTGGACCATTATCATGATCTTTAGGTATGGGAGGATCATGCAATCCATCAGAAACCATACTCTGATTATTTTTACTTCCATCTGTGTCTCTCAATTTGTGATCATTTTCATTGTCCTCTTTCTTTTCAAATGTATCTTGTGTCTCAGGTACAGAATCAGAATTATCAGTCCTAACCTCATTTCCTTCATGAGATTCATTTTCTTCTTTTTCCTCCTCGAGTTGAGAAATCATATCTTCTATCACACCAAACACACTGTTAACAGCTACTTGGGTGGAATCATCCATCCCTGTCAGAGCATCTAATGCTTGAGAAACACTGAAGGTTGGGGGATTGCAATCAGCTATAGTGGACTTATTTTGATCATGTGAATGTTGAAGATCCTTTTTATGATCACCATTCCCTTCCCCTTCCACTGGTTGAGCTTCAGAAGATCCTGCAGGGGAAACTGTACCGTCTCCCATAGTGGCAGATGCCAATTTATTTTGGTCAGTAAAAGAATCCAAGACTTTTTCTTCCTTGTTGTGGGGAGTATTATCATCCTTTGTTTCAATTCGGCCTACTCCACCATCTCGGTCTGCTTTGGACTCACCACTAAGTATTTCATCTGTGCTACCTTCCTTTTCAGCTTGGGAAGTCAAATTAGGCTTAGCATTAGTTTCCAATCCTGTTTCGCTAGAGTCAGCATGTGGAGAAGCCTTTTCTTTGGTGAGATCATCACTTTCATGGATTTTTCCCAACTCATTTGTATCCTTCTTAGCTGAAGAAGAAATATCACCTTGATTTGCACTTGTTGATTGAGATTGACCTACGTCACCAGACTTTTGCAAATTGTCTGATGGCCGAGATTCTGATCCCTGTATGGCAGTAATTTTGTCTGAGCCAACCTGAATGCTATCAGTCCCATCTGCCAAATCATCAGCTCCTTTTATCTCATCTGTAGAATGAGCATCACTAACACTTTCTTGGACTTTTGACTTGAACCCTGATTGTATTTTGGGAATCCTCTCAATACCCTGTTTTAAGTTTGTGCCTTGAGCATGCATAATTACAGATACAGCTGCTGTAAGTTTTTCACGAACATCTTCTGGAACAGCATCTTGCAAAGCTTTCATAACTGTCTCGCCTTGATTAACAGCAGCCAAGACCTGGACGTGCATACTTACATTATTTAACATACCTAAAGTTCATGCCCCCAAATTTATTTAACTTATATCCACAAATTCTTAAGCCATGTCTCTTTCAAATTGCTATTTAAAGTACCAAGCATGCCACACCAGAAAAATAATCTAAAATTGGAAATAACATCATACAGCTGAATTTTCAGTAAAATACTTTTGAAAAGAAAACATATATAGACATTTAACTTATTCAATCAAGGAATATATTATATATCATAAGACTTGTATAGTTTACATATTTCATTTCCGGCAAATGCACATGCACAGGGCAACCTTTAACATTAGAATATCATTTTGATTGTTCAAAATTGAGATTATACTTAAATCAGACCACTGCAAACTAAGGGTTAGAAATTGATGAATATGTATTCCACATTTTAGAACCCAGAACGACCATACAAATGAGATAAACCTGCTATAAGCCTTACCTTCAGCTTCTCTGCTTCTTTCAAAGTTCCAGGCATAGTTACATCAAGCATATTCATAACTACTTGCGCAGTTTGTAAAACTTGGCCTATTTCACCATCTTCTGGGGCAGCTTCCTCTTTGACCAACTCTGCTTCAACAGATTTGGTCTGCGCTAACATATCATTGTGCACTCCTTGCAATCCCTTGTCTTCAAGTTCCACATCTTTCAGTGAATCTTGTCTGGACCGCAGGTGGATGCTAGCAGCTGTATCACCATCTTCTAACATCTCTCTTGTAGGACCAATGGGATAGCCATTTAAAGCATTTGATCTAGAAAGATCCAAAAGCTTCTTAGCTTTTCCGCCCTTACCAGTCAACCTACCTTCTGCAAAAGCCAAGCCTTTTGAAGGGTTGATGTTGACATCAACATCTTTCAGAAGAGGATGACGACCCTTTAGAAGTCCAAGCTCCACTGCTGTAAGCCACTATATATGCCAAATGATACTAATGAGAAAATCAATTGCAAGATACATGGTGAAATTTTATCAAGTTCTAAAACCATAAGAAAGATAAAGAACATGTCATTCCAGACTGGTTAGTACCACTCGCAAATTGCAATAACCAGGATATAGTTGGCACTGGAAGCAGTGAAACCTGTTCTTATCATGTAATATGAAGTAAACTCTGTAGGACTTAAAATGTTTGGGGTTCAAAATCCAAATAATGGATATATAGCAAGAGTTAAACTACCTAGACAGTCTTCAGAAGACCAATGTATAGATCACTGAGAAAGACCACAGATCACCAAGCTCATTTGTGAAAATTGATGCTTTGAAAGAGGATATTTCATGAAAAAACTAAAGCCTGAGATCAAATCTAAAACCTAAATCCTACCCTCAAACCCACCGCACCCTTGAAACAGTATACTTTACGTTGTCATTTTAAGGATAACCCCACTATTTTGCTTAACATACTATGTGGATAAAGTCAAGGATCCAAACCCCTTAGACGAGAAGAAAGAAGATAAGATATTACCTCAATAGTAAGATGATGGCACCAAGATACAGTAGCTCTGGATGGTGAACAAGAGCAGAGGAGTAGGCTTGTAAAAGGATTTTCAGCAATTAAACCACGGGGAATAGAGAATAGCGGAACCGATCCATCATCATTCTGACAAATGAAAAATGTACAAGAAATTAGGTTTTCCTTCTAATTTTCCTCCTTGGGGGAACTGGATTCTGAGCCGGTGCAATTATTAACTCAAGAAATGATACTGCTGAAAGATAGTTTATGCAAGCATGCAGAGGACAGAAACAGAATAAGTGCAAACTATTTCAGGGCAAGTCCTAAAAGATATTTTCCCAAACGAGAAGGCAAGATTAAACATCTAGATCTGGTAGTTAAGTTTTTAAAAAGTTTACATTAGAAGGAAATTTAGGAAGCTTACCAACATCTTCAAGGAACTCTAGCTTAGCTTAGATAGAAACTACTTAACCTTCTAGTGACTAGCGTTCAATGACACATAAGAGAAAACATAAATGAGTTTTCTTTGAAGCAAGAATGTTCTAATCTGACATTTGACGTTATAATATGTACCTCAGAGAAAACATATGGCATTAGATCTCAGAAGTTCTAGAAGGTACCTGTATAAAAAGAACTGGAATCTTCACATTGCCAACTAAGCTTCGCGTGCTAGATTTTGAGTAAAAGTCTTCTATGGCCTCAAAACCGTATGAGACCATAGATATTGCCTTTTCAAAGTCACGAACAGATTCGGCCGATAGAGCCTTTTCCACATCAAACCCTTTTGCTCGGCCTTGAAATAGTTCCTAGATGATTCATTTAGCATGAATCAAATGAATTAGTACTGAATGGGCAATCTATATTAAAGAAATAATGAAGTAATTTTGAGTGAAGTGCTACAAATTTTGAAGCAATCACCAACCTTATTAGATCGTAGGATATCTATAAGTCCACCAGTGAGTTTTTCATTTAAAGCAATGTGATAAGGAGTCGATCTTGTGGCCTCCTCCAAGTCAAAAGGATTGTCTATGCATGTTGCAGCTGTCAAAGGTGTTTTCTCACCAACTTCTGCCAAGTATTTCGTCAACATGTTTGCGCCATATCCCCAGCCAACACCCATCAATGTATTCCATGGCCTTGCCTTATTGATGAACTGTATAGCAGTGGAGATATCGTCGCTGTCAGCAGCTGTAAACAACCTACATAAACAAACTCGTTAAGCTCTAATATCAGATGGCTTTTCAAGAAATTTCCAGGAGAAAACAAAATACTGCTTTCATTAGATAATTCTTTTGATCTAGAAGCCTAAAATATAACACTCTCAAGTAAATACTTCCCACTTGCTTAAAACATATTATAAACATTTTATTAAAGCTAAGAAACAAAACAATCAATGAAAGACTACTCACTTAAACAAACAATAGCTTACCGGGGAGTGGTGAGTGGCGAGCTAGCGCAACCTCTAGGATTCATAACAACCGGAAAAAACCCACAAAAAACCGCCTCCCTAACAAACGCCTTCACCTTCTCGTGCATACTACCCTCCGCCGTTCCCGGAACCACCAAAACCGTCGTGTCCAATCCAAGCTCTTCGTTCAAGTCCAAATTAGCCGGCCAATCAATCGAAACGACACCGCCGTCATCCGTGTTTATACAAACTCTCTGGTACTCCAAGTCACTCGGTTTCTCTCCTCTGTTTCTACTCGCCTGGATCATCCTCCCGCTATGTAGCCTCACGAAATGCCTATCTTCCTTCACCAACCTCTCGTTCACACCCTCCATCAACTCACTCCCTTCGAACGATATGGAGGGGCATCGGAGGATGACGAAGCGGTTAAACGGCGTCGGACTGGTGAACAAGATCCACTCTCCGATTTCACAGGCATTGTTTTTGCCTCCGGAGGCTAAATTTAACCGCGAAGATAAATAAAGAGCGACGCCGCCGGAAGTTAGACCTAAAACCGGCGCGAGAAAATCGAGTGAAGGAAGGTTCTGGAAAACGTTGTTATCGAAAAAGAAATTGAAATGGTTTCGGAAAGCGAGGTTTGAGCGAGAGAGCTTCAAGCGGCGTCGTTTATAAACGCAAAATACGCGGATTTGGTAAGGATTTTGAGGGGAGAAAAAGAGGAGGTTGTCGGAACGGTTAAGAGTGAGACGGAGACTGGTGTAATTAGAAGAGAAGCTCATTTAATTTTCTTTTTTTTTTTGGTGGGGAAATGAAATTTTAGTTTTTTCGAGAAGGTGATATTAAAGATAAGACAAAGACGGAGGAGGAAAAGGATGAAAAAAAGAGCAAAAAGTACGAAAGGAGCGGATGGCGATGGTGTTGGGGTGGTGGCGGAGGAGAGTGGTGAGTGGTTAGGGGAGGTTCTACGGTTTTAACCGCGAACTCGAAAATATATGGCTTCGGTTTGCCGGTGGTGGATCCCACATCCGGAAATGGGTCCCGAAGGGAACTCAAAAAGTAGAACAAACCGTTATTAGAACGTTTACTGATAATATTTAAATCGTACGATGATCGCATCCACATCGGCCGGTGCAAATTGGATCGTTTTCACCGCTTCACCTTCAAGAAGGCGGCCAGGCCTTGACCAAAATATTGGGCCTAAAGAGGCTGACGGCTGGCCCATTTCACATTTGTTATTGCAGTTTGGAATATATAGCCCAAAAGGTTTTTTGGGCCTCTTATAAAAAAAGTGAATATACTCATAGACCAGGAGTTAGTCAGTGGATATCATATATATATATATATATATATATATATATTACCAAATAAGAGTGGTGAATTTATTTTAAATAAGATTTTTTGTTGTTTAAAACCCCAATCATTTCCAATTTCTTGCTTTACAGTTTTACCAATGAAATCTTTTATCAATTCAATGCCAAAAATTAACCTTGAACCTCTTACAGGTTTGTAATATTGAGCCAGACTAGTATCTTGAGTGCTTTGGATCGGGCCCCTTTCTACGTTCTCAATCACCATGCCCAAAGTCTAAAATTTTTGAGCCGCCTAAGATGGCCCATTATTTTCTCTTTATTTCCATTCCTTTATGCTGATCTTCTCAAAAATGAAAAAAAAAAAAAAATACAAAACAACGGCAGATATGGGCATATTATATACAAAAAGCGACATCTATGATGTTAATTAACATTTACATTCAACTATTTGTACTTAAGATGTCAATTACTGATCTTTAGATTAATTAGTATAACATCAAAACTAGCATTCAAAGGTTGTAAATTTGAAGAATTTTATGTATATAATATATTTTTCAACCAAATAAATATAAAGATGAAAGATTCAAGAATAAATTAAAATTTTCAAAAAAAATTATTTTATTTGGCGAAGATGTCCATTACATATCCAGCACCATGATATATACATACAACTGGCTCTTGTAGCCCTTTTCTTTTTTTTCTTTTTTTTTTTAATGAATTAACTCCCAAATCTGGCTAATTGGCAAGTAATCCTATAAAGTCACTTTTCTAGTAGAATCCATTGTTTAGAAACATGTAAGACAAATATAAACAGCCGTAGGCAACGGGCAAACTGACAAGGTTAACCCTGATTATTAGTATCATCATAATGCTAATCACATGCTACATGTCGTCGATAATCTCGCAATTATGATCAATAATCTCGGCGACCCTCGTCATCAATTTGCTTAAGCAGATATGGGCACGATTTAGGTCCCAATCAAAAAAAGACATTTCTTATGTTTTTTTTGCATCTCTCTTTTGGAGACATCTCAGTTCTTCCACTGTGTTTTTGATCATGGGAAAATTGAAAACTAGTAGAATAAGTTCAAGTGAAAGTAGATCCTGTTGATTTCTTTTCCTGCAAATTATAGGATCTTGTTTCCCAATAAACAATTAAATTGCATGACCATCCACGAACAATTTTCTATTCATTGATTTTGACAAAACATTGCCCTCATCCAACCCTTCATTTTATCACTAAGCATCTAAATAGATATTGCTGTAATATGGACAGGAAGCAAATACAAAACTCCATCCCCCCTCTCACCACACATTTTCCTTTTTCTTTATATATTCTTTTCTGTCCTTCTTAAACACTTGTTATAATTCACTAATCACCTTTAATCTTATCCAATAAGTGCTGTTCATCAACGAACAGATCACCGACACATCAAATAAAGCCCTAACAAATTAATATTAATTGATTACAAATCAAAATCTTAATTTCAGTCATCAATTAAGAGGATCGATTCCCAAATTATATCACATGAAAAAGATCATGAAGCTTATAATTAGGGGAAGATATATCAATGAATCTGTTGGAAAACAAGACAAGCAATTTTGTAATTAAAAATTTAATTAGTAGTATTTTTCATGACATTGGTAATTATATTATATGAATCCACATGGGGGAGGCTATGGGTGTGATTGAGGCTAATTTAATAAGCTGATGGTTCACATTTTTGGGACATTAATTTGATTCCATGTGTTGCTCACATGCCGTTGCTCTTTCGCCGCAAATTGTCTTTATCAAGGATTTTCTTGGACCCCGAAATTTGTTATTCACCACATAAATATTGTTCCCAAAACATCATCTCACATTAATATGCATGTTCTTGCTTTCTCCTATTAATATTATTAATGGTTTTTATTAGAGTTGTCATCGGATCGGATTCGAGACGGATTTTAATCACTCTAAATTTAACTTGATTTTATGTGTTATTAAATCCGAACTTGATCTTACTCAATTTTTTTTTTTTTTTCATATTCGATTTCGACCCGATACTATATAAATCACACTCGACCCGAACCAAAATTAATAAAATATTATTTTTTAAAATATAAAATATTTATTTTTTAAATATAAATATTTAAAAAATATCATTATATAAATATATATATAAATAAAAAATTAAATAATTAATTAAAAAATAATTTTTAATATAATATCGGTCGATCGATTTTAAAACCAAATGACTCGACTCGATCCCGATTGTTTCATAATCTTATTTGACCTGACTAAAACTCGAATTTTAAAAAAAAAACGGATCTCGTAAAATCGAATCAGATCAAAATCCGTCGGAAATAGATTAAATTACCGACCTTAATTTTCATATAATGAATAAATATCTAAATTTTAGATTTCAATCATTTAAAAAACCCAAAGTCATATGTCATAAATTAAAATATTTTTTAAAAAATTAAAATTTAATATTTTATCAGTAAATCATACTATTTATAAATTAGAATATATACTTTATTTGATAGTCACACTAAAGCCAATCATGAATTAGGTCTTTTCTCAAACCCATATCCAAAAAAGAAATCTCAAAATCATGCAAAAGGTCCATTCTTTAACACCTTTTTACTCACTATTTTCTAACCAATTAAAAAAAAAAACCTTTGCTTTAATTTTAAAATCATTAAAAAAAATATTTATTTAGAATTGAAATCACATGCCCGAACAGTAGAAACAACAACCTTCGTCATGACCTTTTGCATGTGAGATTGACGTACAAAAGCTAAAAGTAGTAGGAGATTCAAGGCATTTTACAATTTAAAGATTTTAAAGCAAAATATATATATATATATATATAAAACCTATTCCCATCTTTGCTATTAATATTTGATTTACATGCATTGTTTAGGTTAACAAAAATGTATACGAAAGAAAAAAGGGTTGAGCATTTTTTTTTTTTATGCCTTTACTGCAATAAAAAGAAATGCAAAAGTCTCACATAAAATTACATGGCAATTGGTAGGTGAGTAAACGTCACTTTCTGAATAGGAAAAAAAAAAGGAGGTTGAGCAAAGCTGGAAAGAAGAGAGTAAGTCAATACATCAAACAGATGATGAAGAATCTCCTGAAAGAAAAAAAAAATGGAACCCTAAGTTACATATTATATCTATATACTGCCAATTGACGACCAGCGAATGAAATGGATTTATCTCTTATTTGCATATATGCACACCAGCTTTTCTTTGTTTTTTTTTTTTTTTTTTTAATATTTGAATAGAAAATTGTGGTAGTTACCACCGTTTGTCTAGATTCTGGAAGAGAGGAGCCGAGGCCATTGCTCTTTTTTTTTTTTTTAAACCTTTTCAAATCTTGTAGAAAGAAAGGGCAATGAATTTGGATAACATATTTGAACCCTTTTGGAACATGCAAGTCTTGCACATGTCTGTCGCTATCAAGTAACTATTTTCTTCAATTAAAAAGATGGAAAGAAAAACAACAAAAATCTGGAGAATTAATTAAGAGAGAATAAATAATAATTTGTATAGAAACCAACAATTTTCGAGTTGGTGCCCGAACGAGAAGCTGATATGTGAAGCCTTTCCCATATTATATATTAACTCCATTTAAATCATGTATTTGAATTATATTAACCATATCATCTTTCAAATTACGATAATATTTCTTAGAACCCCAAAATTTCAAACCCAATCATATATAATGTCAAATTCAATAATTTCTTTTTCGATTATCAAATATTTAACTCAAATGCTTGTATTAAAAATCCAAACCTTTAACATTTTAATATTTACAATTTATTTAAAATATTAAAAAAAAATCTCCGAATAAAATTATAAAGACAAACTTCCTGCAACTCAAAGCAAATAATATTTCATAACAGATTTGGTTCTAGCAATCTTTACACCAACAATTGCATATGCTACATAGGGCAAAATACTTTTATGAGTATGTTTTTTTATTCATTAGTAGTGTTTTCTTTCTTCTTAATTGTATTTTGGTAGTTGAATCATTTACTCTAAAAGATGAACTCAACAACTTTCCAGTTGGTAAGCAAATTTTTAAGGGCCAAATACAGACAGAAAAGCCTTCACTAATTCGTAGCTTCGCTCTTTATACACTCATTCCTGTTGAGGCAAAATGCCCTTCCATCGAAGTTTTGTTACAGGCTTCCTTCCCATCCTATTATTTTAATTCAATGATATATGTATGTATTTTTTTTTTATTTTAAGAGTTGAATTTGAATATTTTTTTCAATTTTATTACAAAAAATAATTAAACTACGTAAAATAATCAAAATATTTGTTTAAAATTTGTTTGCCAACTTCTAAGTTCAAAATATTCAGTCACACACCAAACCGGTTGCAAGTGAAGGGCATTTATGTAAAAATTTCAAAAACAAAGGATTGAATATAGAAGAACTCTTAACACATGGTTTACACTCCACACCCCACACCCCAAGACGCCAAAAAGTGTAGGCCCATTAACTTTTTACAATACCCGGGCCCAGAACTGGGCCCCACTCATGTAACCGTATTTCAACCAAATTTACAATTTCACCCTTCCCCAACTCCTTTATAATGCCTTCCTTTTCTTCGAACACAAGCACCTTCTTTCTCTCTTCTCAGGCAAAAACATCCCAAAGCTCTTTCAAAATCCTTAAACCACCCAAAAAAGGAAAGACAATGGCAAAAGGCAGCAACAAGCTAACGAAGCTTAAGTCAGTTCTCAAGAAGCTGAACTCATTCAACAACAAGCAAAGCCGCCCGACATCTAGCTCCGTTGTGGCGGCTTCGGAAATCGACGAGGAATCATCGGCCAATCTCCAGCCTGTCTACGTGGGAAAATCTCGGAGACGGTACCTTATTAGCTCCGACATTATCGATAACCCTTTGTTCCGCGAACTCGCGGAACGGTCGGGCGAAAACGACACTGTCATCAACGTGTCCTGCGAGGTTGTCTTGTTCGAACACTTGCTTTGGATGCTCGAAAACGCTGATCCTCAGCCTGAGTCTTTGGAGGAGCTTGTCGAGTTTTACGCTTGTTGATTGGTTTTATGAGATCAAAAGAAATGATCCCGTGTGGTCATTCGCATGGTACCGAAGTTGTACATTATGTAATGATAATAATTTGATTAGGCAGTGTAGAGGAAACAAGAAATGATTGTGGAGAGAACTAAAAGGGACTGCGCTGATGAAAAATCAGAAGAAGATCAGAGAGAGTTAATTTCAATGGTGAGGATCTAACCGAGTTCACGCCGGCTAATCTGTAAGCCTGGTGGGGGATTTATATATGTGTATCATTGATTGTTCATTGTCATATTTTTTTCTTATAAAATTATATAAGAGATTAATGTTCGTTTTTCTTATAATAATATTAGAAATGTGTGACATTTTTACATATGGTTTCAATGATTTGATCCCGAAGAGAAAGAATGAAGAAGAAAAAGAAGATATATGGGGGTGATGTTGAAATCACAGTGATTCAATCTTTATCTCGAACATGGCCAAAAAGAAGAAAAAAGAATAAAAAAGAAATCTTTATCTCAAACAATTCACTAATGGTTGAAAAGTACAGTCCAGCAAAGCTTGGGCTCCCCATCTTTTATGTTTGTCTTCCATATTGTGACAATGTCTATTTATCAAGTGAAGTACAGTTTGTCAAATATAGGAAAAAAGTAAAGTTTGTTGATGATATAAAGCAAAAATAAAAAAGGTTGGAAGAAATTAGGGATGTTAAGGCATGAAATAAGCCTGTTTAAGTATCTTCAAGTTTAAGGTAAATGGTAGTAATATTTTACTGTTAGAGTAGTAGTATTGGAGTCGACTCCAAAATTGAGAATCTTAATTCGAACTCTAATTGTAATTTAAAAAAAAAAAAACCAATCAGGGAACAACCACAATCATCTAATTATCCAGGAAGATTTCTTATGTTATCAGGTAACAAAAACACTAATCCGTTGCTTTCTTTGGTTTATTTTGTCTTCGTATTTCAATTTCGAGTGTTAGTGAAGTAACCTGCTGTTCTGCCCCAGCCTCACTGGGAAATTGTCCCAAATAAGCAAATCAAAGCCCTGAAATTGCGACTTTTTCCCATAAACAAAATGCATCAGCAAGGTACAGCTATCTGCAAAAAAGGGTGTACACATTCTGAGACAAGAAGCAGGAGCCACCGAGCCAGGAAGTCGATGTGGGATGATGAACAACATGGCAAATAAAACTCCTTTATGTTTTAATTAATAAAGTTGATTACTCATCAAATTAATTGAATTATAATATTCTTAATTTATATTAATACATGTATGATTCATATGGCTAATGATTGGGTTGTTCAGAGATGCTTTTTTCTTTTAGAGATATAGCCACACGCTCTGCTAGCTTTGTTGCTTTTTGTTGGTTAGACACAAACCTTTATTATTATTATTATTATTTTGGTTATGGGTGGGGGAAGATTTTGGTAAGTGAAAGACACGAAAATTTTGTTGATTAACAGGCATTAGCAACTGCAACGCGTTTGCCAAGCTGTCATGGTCATTAGAGATATAAATGATATATTAATACTCGTAAATTATTCGAGTTCGATTCGAAAAAATTCGAATTCGGTTCGATTATTGTCGAGTCGAGCTCGAGCTCGAGTAGTTCAATTTATCGATCGAGTCGAATTCGAGTATTCTTATATCTGATTCGAGTAGTTCGCGAGCCTAATCGAGCTTTTATATTTAAATATATTTTTATTATTTTAATTAATAAAATATTTCGAATCCGAGTTCGAATTCGAGTATGAATAATTAAACTTTTGTCGAATATACGAATCGAGCTTATTTTTACATATTAATCGAGCTTAATCGAACGAGCTCGAGTAGTTCGAATTCGATCATGAATCGAACTCGAACTTGAAAAATAAAACTCGATCGAGCTCGAGCTGAGTATCGAGCCCTGAGTTGTGAGTCGAGCTCGAGCTTCTCACTACTTGGCTCAGCTCAGCTCGTTTACACCCCTAATGACCACCTTAATGCTGTTGCTTAATTTTTCACACTTACTTGTACATAAAAGAAGCTACAATTTAACAATAAAAAATAAATTATAAATATTAAAATTTGAATATCAAATTTATTGAATATATTTTTAATTATATAAATTAATTAAACTAAAATTTGATTTCAATTTACCACTATTTTCAAGTCTATGATGATTAGAAAATTTAATAGTCTAAGATAATCCTTGATTAATGTCATTCAATTGATTGGAATATAAGAAAAATGGGCGGTGTCATGACCTTGTCTTGATTAAAGTTAAGATTATTAAGAGATGTTTTGTATATGTTCTCTAGCCAAAGTATAATTACATAAATTAATACAATTCAAATTAAATACATATATAGTCTTTAGTCATCTATCCATAAAAATTTCAAAATGAACGTTGGGAGCCGAAGTACTAATCCTTATCACCAATAAATTTCATGACAGCTGTTAAAGTGATATTGTTTTGACGTTGTTTTGTTTATCTAGTGTTCATAATGACCACCTTTTCTTAATTTTGCAAAAAAAAAAAAAAACTTTTGTTAATAAAAAATTTATTTAATAAAATGATTTTTCATAACCCCTTAGACTTCCTAATAAGTTCATAAAAAATTAATCTTATATAAAATTTTGGTCATTTATGAGATAATTTACATGATTGACTTATAACGCATATATATATATATATATTTAAAAAATAAAAAAATTACATTGATAGTATATTTGATAATAAATATATTTAAAAAGTAAAAAAATTACATTGATAGTACATTTAGAGTTAGACACTAAAAATGATTAATTTATTTTATTTATTAATCATAAGGAGTTTGTTATATTTAATGTAAAAAATAAAAAGAAATTCGAGAGGTGTAATTAGATTAAATTAAATTAAATTGAATAAGTGTATCATCTGGAAAGCTTAGAAGATTACATTTGCAAACCGCAAAAAGAAAGGAAATGAAAAGAAAAAAACAAGTTTTGTTAATTAAAATTTAAGATTAGCTGTCTAATGCCAATTAGGAATAAAAAGAATAAGACGAAATTAACCTTGCAATCGTTAAAATAACAGGTCGCCTGTCAGCGATAGAAGAAGACAAGGCTAGGTAGCTACCTTCCATAAAGAGACGGCCGGTTTTTGCGGCTTTTTAGGGGAAAAGATCAGATGATGCCCCCGAATCATCTTACGCTCCGACCCTTCTCTGTCCTTTGGTGTAAATTATGGCTACAATGTAGGGTATATTTATCTTTTCAATCTTGGCCCCTCATTCAGTCAGCTCACACCCCTTACACTTTTAAATTTTTAGATATACAAATTAAAAAATTTTTAAATTTTTTTGAATTTACAAATAAAAAAATTTTAAAAAATTTTAAATGTTGATTTATATTTAAAAGTTTAAAAATGTTATGAAATATTTTCCTTCAACTATTTTTTTTTTCTAAATTTAAATGTAATCTCTTTAATTTACTAGATATGAAAATTTAGTAAGTTATATTAAAAATATATATCCAAAAATTTAAAATTTAAATAAAAAATTAAATAACTAATTTTATCTACAAAAATTAAAAAAAAAAACATAAAGTGCGAAAAAAAAAGTGTATTTAAAATTCTCCTCATTCAGCAGTCAGCCAGAAATTAACTCAGCTATAGCATGAGCATTTGGCAGTAGAAAAGAGAGAGAGCAGCCCACGTGGAAAGTGCTCGTGGAAATCTGATTTGGGGTTGATGATAAGTCCATGTTACTCGAGGAATTTTTGTCCCCAATTTCGCATAATTATAGCTTTTTCTTTGAAGATCGGATTTTCATTTGATTCTCTCTTCCTCAATCCTTCCTCCTGACCCTGACACACACATGCAGCGGATGAGAGCATCACATAAAAAGCTTTTTTTCTCAACAATGATTTACGTGAAAAAGATATGATTGTTTCATCCTATTTTTCTGATTGTCACTTCTCAAACACTATATGTACATTGCATCTAACCTTCTACTTTTTTTTTTATAAGAATAAATTTAAAGTAAATAAGTTATTAGTACTTCAAATCAAAATAAAATATTTTATATTTAAAATTTAAGATTGATTGTAAATTATATATTTAAAATAATTTTAATAAATAATCATTGATAAAATATAAATTTATAATTTTTTTATAAAAAAAATTTTTAATCAATTGAACTATCCACTTATTTTATATTTTTTTCATATCATAGCAGATGCTGTAAACATCTGTCAAATGGTTCCATGATTATGTATCTTTTTTACTTCAACGTAATTCTTGCTGGATATTCTCTTTAATTTTGATTATCTGTAAGATTTCCTCGTCTTCTAGCATTACCTGCTCGATCAAAAAACTATAACTCGAACAAACTTGTATAAAATTCGCAATCATGTTAGATTGTAACAAGATCGTTGAATTTTTTTTTACTATAAAAAGCAAAGTAAACTCTATGAGTCAATGATCTTTTTTGTTCATTGAACATATTTATAAGAGTTAGTTTTTAGTTTTTGTCGTCAAGTGATACTATTGATCGTCTAACGGTTCTAAGCCATAGGGCATGGCAACCCTTGTTCATGAATCTGGTCTACGGCTGGTATTCAAATATAAAAGAGAGATTGGAATATTGGTGTTTTTATGTATGAGAATTAAGACAAAAAAAAATACCTCAAGAGAAGAGAAAAGAGGTGCACAGGAATGGAAACCAAAAAATAATATATAGAAAAAGGATAAAAGAATTTATGTCTACGGTCCACAACCTATATTGGAGACCATGAGGAGGGGCCCTAGAAACTGCCCCGAAAAGGACAAATCACTGAGAAGAAGAAAAGAAAAAAAGCATCAAACCCCCCATCGATGAGTCTCCATGCCTGTTTTGCAGTCAAAAGCTCAAATATAGCTGAGAAGCCATGAACTCCTCATATCTATGGTTTGACATGAATCAACTTGTTCTAGTGTTGAGGGGCCTTTCCCACTCAGCGCAGATCATACAAAAAGCTCATGAGTTGGATACAAATTAATTTGCATGTTGAAGACTTGAAGTGAAGGCATGGATGTATGAGACGTATCAGAATTTGTATGGCTATCGATCGTTTAATTAATTTATACATTGTAAATCAGGGTAAATTGTATTCTTCATGGTCTGAGTAATAAAATATGCTTAAAGGAAACGCATTTTTGTTTGGATCTTTTTTCTTTTATTGAAAAAGAAAATTTTGCTACCATTTTCACGGGTGGCTCAAGAAATAAATTTGTTTCGGGGGGACTAAAGTTTTGGATTCAAGCATAGGTCTCCTTCAAGGAACATTGTATTTTTGCACTCAACAGTATCGTTGTAGCCACTAGAATCCAAAAGTTCAAAACCAATTAAACAACATGACATGTGATGTTCTCAAGTCTAAAATCCTACGTTCCCACCAAGCAAAACTATGGGTTCTATTCATCCCCTCTCAATCAAAAGAAAAAAAAAATGCTAAGATTTTGTCAAAATGACCCTGATCAGTCAGGAGAGAGGTCCAGAGAAAAAAAAAAAAGCAAGAATAGTCATGCATGTGAAATAAGGAAAAAGGACCACCTTGACGAGGATGATGATAACGAACATCTTTAATGCTTATCTTTTATGTGGAGATTTTAAGATAATAATGGTTTAATTCGATTTAATTTAAAAAAAATCAATATGCAATATTTTGATTTTCAGAATTTGAAATCAAATATGAGAATAAAAAGATGAGAGAGAGAGAGCTTTTCTCTCATTTCAATAATTATTATACAAATCGAAATCACCACTACTATAGTACTTTTTTATCGTCTTATCAAATTGCATTGAATCTGACGGAAACGGAATTATTGGAGCGAAAGAGCTGGTTATAATTGAGTCCACATTTCCGGCTGCTTAAAATGGAAATTTTGAATCAGCTTTCTTGGGGAATATAATATATTATATATCCTTGGAAGAAACTTGAAGCCAAGTATGGAATGGAACAAGGAGTCAATGAGAAGGAAACCTGCTTAAAGTCTGTAAGTGCTTTCAATTGCGCGGGGTTGTGAAGTTAGAAACTACGAAGGTTTGTTTGATTTTTGGCAGCTTGTTGGACATTGCTGTTTCACTTTTTCATTTTTTAAATATATTTTGCAGACGAAACAGAAAGGGTTGTTATTTGAATATTAAATATACTCCCTTGTTCTTCGTCAGGGGGATGAGACGGGATACAGTTACTGTTGGGTGATTCGATCCTATATATCCAGTAGCGGTTAGCAGTGGCCTGGTCTAGAGCCTATAGAATGGTTTATACTATATATGAAGGCAAAATTTTTCCTTGGAACAGTATTTAATTTCATCTATTCCTAGGATTAGGGCAGTTGGGCAGAGCGTTGCAGGCACCAACAACACTTTTAATTTGAAAATGCTAACTATAACAGAAAGTACCCAACATTTAAGTCAGTGGTTATATATATATATATATAAATTCACGGTTCAAATTTCAAAACATAATAAAATATCAATTATCCAAAATAAAAAAAAACAAAATCCTCATTCTCTTTTCCAAATTAAAAAAAAAAAAAGTCTAAATTAAAGACATAAATAATATTCATAAATTATTCAAATTTAAATTGAATAAAATTTAAATTCAATTCAATTATTATCGAATCAAATTCGAATTCGAATAATTCAATTTATTGATCGAGTCAAATTCAAAAATTTTTTTTACTTGATTCGAATAACTTATTAGCTTAATCAAGTTTTTATATTTTTTAATATATTTTAATTATTTTAATTAATACAAATATTGAACTTGAACTCGAATTCGAGTATAAATAATTTAATTTTTATCAAATATAAAAATTAAATTTATTTTTATATGTTAATTAAACCTAACTGAACAAACTTGAGTAATTCAATTTTTATTTTGAGTTAAACTTAAACTAAAAAGATAAAATTCAATCGAATTCAAGTTAAATTTTGAATCTCGTACTTTTTAATTGAGCTTGAATTCAAAATTAATATTATATCGACTCAAATTTGATCGATTATACATCTAATATAGACTAAAACCAAAAGATGGGTTTGGAACTATAAATGGGCTCAAACATAAATAGATCTCCTATATGTTACAAGTAATAATAATAATAAATTCATATTTTAATTCAGTTATGTAATCATTTTTAAAAAATAATATTTAATGAATTTAAATTTTAAATTTTAAAATTTATTATTTCTTTCTATCTTTATATCACGAATTCTTTTGTAAAATATATATATATATATATCCTATTGAATCAAATGTGACTTATAGTTTAACACTTGGATTCAGGAATTTTTGTGAAGCCCATCTCTTATTTCGTCCTTAGCAAAAGAAAGAAGCGTATCACGCCCCTTCGTAGCTTGGATATAGATTTACCAAATCTACGCGTCTGAGGCCCAAATCCATATTTCCAAATTCCAACGCTCATTCCCGAGCCGAGTTGCCATTTGCCAACCAAACATGGCGTTTTCTCAAATCGACTGTTACCGACCACAAACTCCGTTAGTAACCGTGCCCTGTCATGGCACCCATTCCCCCACAATTTACATCATTTTCATAAATTTCTAACCTTTCTCTTAACAAAAATTCACCATATCCGCAGCGCTAAACCACATCATTACAGTTCTCAATCCTGGAAGGAGTAGAACAACAAAGCAATCTTGCAATGAATTAACCTTCAAATAGAAAAACCCAACATATCAACAAAAACACTACCAACTTCGCTTACAACCATTTGCTTTAAAATCCTATAAAAGAATCTATGGATAATGATGAAATCATCAATTCTTCGATCAAAAATCGCTGAAGAAATGAAAAGCTTCTCCTTTCTTACCACTCTTTTACCAACTTTGCTCGCTCTTCAATCCACTGTAATTCCCCATGCCAATGAACCCGCTTCTTTGCCAGTTGCACCCACCCTTGAGTCATGGATCGCTCGGAACATGAAAGAACACCAAGAAAGGAAAGCCAACATTGCCAATGGCTTCAACCGCACTGTTCTGGACCAGCTCCTGGTCAAGGCGGATGACGGAAGCGTTAAGGTGATCAAGGTAAAGAAAAATGGCAGTGGAGACTTCGACACGGTGACTGCCGCCGTAGATAGCATTCCTTTGGAGAACATGAAAAGGTTGGTGGTTTGGATTGGTGGTGGCGAGTACTTTGAGAAGATCACGATTAATAGAACCAAGAATTTTGTGACGTTTTATGGGGACCCGATGGATATGCCTAAGATTGTGTTTAATGGGACGGCGGCGGATTTTGGTACTGTGAATAGTGCGACGGTGGCAGTGGAGAGTGACTACTTCATGGCTGTCAATATTGCCTTTGTGGTATAACTCTCATTAATTACAAGTTTTTTCTATAATTATGACTCGAGCGTTATATATAGTTTCGGCCTCGTGTGAAAGTTAGCCTTAGATTGGATTTTTAGTAATAGTAGATTTATAAATCTTTTGCAGTTTCCATTGGAGGAAAAGAAAAGAAAAGAAAAGAAAAGAAACGTGACTTTACAGTAATAATCCCATGCTAATGAATAGGCAATGGCTTCTATTCTACAGTTTCATTTCAGTTTAGTCATGTTTACAGGTTCTTAAGAACCCACCTGTGGGGTTACATAGTTTAATTAATTGTTGCTGATCAATCTTAAGGGTTGCTTGGTCGGGCCCCTAAAAAAAAAAATCATAGTCATTCTTCGTCTGAGGGTCGTTTTTTTTGGTGAATTTAGAATTCAGCTCCAATGGCGGATGGCCAAAAAGTGGGGGCACAGGCAGTAGCGATGAGAATATCAGGGGACAAAGCAGCATTCTATAATTGCAAGTTTATAGGGTTTCAAGATACCTTGTGCGACGATAAGGGCATGCATTTCTTCAAGGACTGCTACATTGAAGGCACTGTTGATTTCATTTTTGGAAATGGCAAATCCCTTTATTTGGTAATTCCACTTTTTCCTTCCTTTTAAAGAGTACCAACTATCATTTCGGTTCTTGCACCAGAGCTACAATTCTTGGGGGATATATGTTTTTGATGCAGAACACCACAATTCAATCTGTTGCAAAGAATCTGGGTGTGATCACAGCACAAGCTAGGGAAAAGGTAGGCGATGATAGTGGATTTACATTCCTTTACTGCAATATAACCGGTGGAGGCAACAGTACCACTTACCTTGGCCGTGCATGGAAGCAAAGGCCTAGAGTCATCTTTGCTTTCACATACATGGGCACCGTTATCAACAGTAAAGGCTGGTCCACTGATAAGCACCCTGAGCGCAACCAGTATGCATCCGGAGCTCATTTATTAATGGTTTTTTTTCATCAATAAGAAAACATAGTGGTTCTGACTTTTGATCATAAAATTAACGTGGGGTTACTTTAATGATTTACAGGACTGTATATTATGGAGAATACAAGTGTAAGGGGCCTGGGGCTAGTTCCTCTGGTCGAGTTGGATTTGCAAAAATTCTTAGTGAGCTAGAGGCTAAACCTTTCATGAGCTTGACTTATATCCGTGGAAGCAATTGGCTTCTACCACCTCCCAGCTTGTGAAAGCTTTACCAAATAAACGAAGGAACAATGTAAATGCATTCTGCAAATATGTATCGTGTAAATCTGTGATGCTCTGAACGAAGTTGATTAGATGTTTTTTTAAAGTTTGTCTTCTAGTTTCATTGTGAAGGGGGAAAAAACACTCCTTGGAGCAAAAAGTTTACAACAAAAATTACTGCTATAGAAGGAAAATGATTCAGAATTGAAGTTTGGCTCTCCAATTATCAACAAAAATCATATAGAAACACGATTAAGAGTAATTAAAGATAGATAAATCATACTTTATTGCAATCCATGGGAGCAAACCCGAATGCAAAACATTCCCAAAGAAAAGAAGGAAACTAAAGGTGGGACAAAAGGCCCAAGTTCAAACAAAAAGGAAAACGTGAAACAATAGGAAAAATAAAATTTCAATTGCAATCATTCTTGGAAACTTCAAAACTTCATTTCCAACCAGCCTTTTGCGGTTATGCCTCATCACTTTTTCCTAGTCGACTGCTAGAGGAACAGTCTTAACCTGAAAAGCACACAAGGAAAGAATTAAAGAATGGAGTACTGGGAACATTAATTTCTCAGTTGAGTAAAACGTTAAAGAGATGTTCATGTAGGAGGCAAATGAACATGAATGTTTACCCGCTTGTTATACATCAATGCATGCAACATTTCAATGTAACGCATGCGCCCACGTTGCTCGAGGTTAGAAACATGTTTCGAAAAGCCATAAACTCCAGTCAGAGTCAATAGCTTCTCGGAGTAAATCTGCCATGTATACCTGCAAAGCAAAGCAAAGCAAATGAGAAAAGGATTTTTTTAAAGAAAAGAATACTATCACAATTAGTTAAAATAAAGGCTTATTGCTTACTTCTCCTGTATGCGCTTTAGACCTCCCTGGGAGATCTTATCCCAATAAGATGGATCTGCCTTGCACTTCTCAAAGAAATTGACGAGGGTCCCAGCAGCCAAATCGCCATTATAAGGATCAATGTTGAAGCCAGATATACCGTGAACGATAATTTCAGCAGGGCCTCCATAACAAGTTGCAAATGTTGGTAGACCACAAGTCATGGCCTCAACAACAGTCAAGCCAAAAGCCTCATAGAGAGCAGGCTGAACAAATGCTCCCTTGGTGTCACAAATGTAACGATAGAGTTCACCGTTTCTCACCCTGTTCATCTGGGATGAAATCCATCTGAACTGCCCATTCAACTTGTATTTTTCAATAAGTTCATACATCCTCTTCATTTCAGCCTTCTCTTCCAAATCCTTTGATTCCTTTCTCCTATCTCCACCAACCACAACCAAGTTAACCAATTCTCTCAGCCGGCTGTTCTGGGCATAGAACTCTACAAGCCCAGTTAAGTTCTTTACTCGGTCCAACCTTGCCATGGTAAACAGAATTGGCTTATTGCGATCTTTTAGTACACATCTGCAAAATAACATTTGAAACATCTTCAACATTTTCCATAATGTAGTGAAAAGTAAAATAGCGTAAAAGTAGGACAAATACTCACAAGTGCTCTGCGTTCTCAACAGGGCTGTAAAGAAGCTCTTCAATCTCAGGGTGGAACTTCTTTAACCTCCTTTTCTCTTCAGTGTAAGGGAAGTATATGCTCATATCAGCACCAGGGGAGACAATGTTGAATTTCGGATCGAACACGTCAATCCCATCAACTACACGGTAGAGCCCTGGAAGAGTGAAAGCAATGTGACTCTCGTATTGGCCAAGAGTGTCTTTGCTGGAATCATGGAATCGCAACACTGTTAGGCTCTCAAATAAGTAGGAGCATAGACAAGACAATTATATGTAGTAAACTGGGAGATTTATTACCTTCCAGCAATCTCTTGGAAGGTGCTGGTGATGATAAAATCAGTGTGGTTCATAGCGATAAGGTCAGCAGTAAACTGGCAGGAGAAGTGATACTTATCCTCAAGCTTTTTCCAATTGATGTCTGAATCTGGGTACTTAGTCTTCTCAAGTGCGTGAGCAATGGTGCACTGCATGAAACAGTCGAGGCAAGTTTTTAGGCTGAAAAGGAAGGATCCAAATACAGCAAAACAAAAACAAAAAAAAAAGTCAATGGATTCGCTTTTAACAAACCTGCGTAACATCAAACTTATGTGCCAATAGAGAGGCAACAATGTTCCCATCACTATAATTCCCAACGATCAGATCTGGCTTGCCCTGAAACTCTTTGGTAATTTCAAGTACAACATCCTGAAAGCAAAGAGTAATTCAGTACTCAGTAGCAAAGAAAAACAACACAGTAGTAGCTAATGCATACAAAAGAAAGGTTAACTTATGGCGGAAAATGAATAATTCACCTCAGTGTAAGTTTCCAGATAGGGCCAGACTTCAAATCTTGAGATCCATCTACGCACAATTCCCTTTTCTGTTCTGAAGGGTACTCGAAGAATATCAGAATACTTGGTTCCATACACTTTCTCAAGACGCTGACCACAAGTTGTTCCCACAGCATCAGGGAGGAGTCGAGTAATCTGGTATAAAAACAGTCAAATTATGCATCAAACATGCTGTTAAAATTTAGGAATTCTGATAAAAAAGAACCACAACTGTTATAACATACGAATACTCACAATAAGGATACGTGGGGTAACGTCAAGTCCTTGCAGCTTGAATCGGTGAAGCATCTCTTCCTCCAAGGCACGGACTTGATCCAGGATGTAAACAACCTTGAGTAGAAGTTGTTTGATTTACAGTTAGAACAACTTTAATTACATCAAATAATACTTAAAGCAAAGACAGTTAAAAGTTTAGAGTTGCAAAAACTGACCTGGCCACCGGTGTCAGGGTACCCCAATACATTGTCTTGGGCAAAGTATCCATGAGGAGTCATGATAACAACATTGGAGACCAATGGGATTCTTCCTAGGAAGCTTTCAATAGTGACGGGATCAGGTGCCTGCAAGAGGTCCAGAAGAAGATGTATCATCTCTAGAACATGCTCAGCATTATCACCCCATCCCTTCTCCAAACCAATCTCCTGGAACCTTTTCTCAAAAACAGAGTATGGTGTATCGGATGGTAGATGAGTCAGATACTCCTCGGCCTTCCTCAAAGCATGTTGGAGGACATTCACATCTTGAATTCTGTCATTCAGTAGCATACCCTGTGACATGATAGTGAATGAGTCCAAATGATCGTGCAATTTATTTAAACGAAAGAGGTACAGGTATTTTTCATGGCTTACCTTTCCCTTCTGGCAGTGAATTTGAAGAAACTCAAGCAATAAGTTCAAGTTCTCCTTATCTTGGAATAGTTTGGCAGAAAGGTGGCGATTGAGGAATTCCATGCCGTTACCAATAGACTTTGACAGAGATGGGCGAGGAATAGAATTATTGAACGCGCCAAAGTCCAATTCCAGAGTAAACTCGCCAATGGAGCTGAATCGCATCGTTGAATATTGGTTAGATATAAACTCAGTACAACTTGAAGAATAAGAAAGAAAACTTGAAGCTGAAAAAACTACGTACCTTCCATCAACGATTTCCTCCTTCAACAGCAGATACTCGGCAACTTGGAACTCCTCTACGAAGAGCTTCTGGACATTCACAGCAATGTACTCCCAAACACCAGGAGCAGGACGAATGGCAAGGGCAACCAATGGAGAGGAAACTACTGCTTCCTGCACAACAATATTGGATTTGTTAACGTATTAGTCCAATATTCTCATCATATTAACATCCTAGTCGAGAATCCAAGAAATATAACCAAAAAATATTTTTTTAAAAAATGTGAATTAATCTCACCTGCGTGGACCTGAGGACATCGACAACTATCCCATCAAGTGCTTGCTGTCCAGCCTCCTTCTCGAGGATCGATAACAGCTTTTGAGACTTATGAATACCCCGTCCAAGGCTTTCAATCCTGCATGGTTTATAAAACAATGTAGTCAAAGTAACGAACAACAACAACTAGTAATTTTTATCGTACTGAAACAGAAGGACCAAGGCAGCATGTATTTGATATACCTCGACAAGATAGACTTTGCCTGCTTTGGATGAGTAGCTAGAGATTCACCCAAACGTTCACAAATGCTTCCTGCAGCCATTGTTTTTTTTCCTGAATTGGCAGGGAAAGGAATATACTAAGGATTAAGCTATGGATAAAATCAGGGCAAGCAAAACATCAATTTAAAAGGTTTATGGTAATGAAAAACTTGGACACAACTAAATGCAGATATACCTAATTACGGCATTAAAAGAAGGTGGGTGGAGAACAGATCTACTACAAATACAACTGTTAAAAAAAGATGCAAGAATTCAATTTGTTTTCTAACAAAGAGCAGTTGAGAATATCAAAAACAAAGACTAAACAAATAGTTAAGAATTTTGAGGCTCTTAGAAGATTCAAAAATAGTTGAAAAATAAAAGCAGATAATTTTACAAAAACTCCATAGAAATAACTTCTGATAGCAACAGAAAACCAAAAAAAAAAGATCTACCTAAGCCAAAAAGGAGGTCTGAAAGAAAAAGAATAATAACAGAAGAGAAGTATAGAGGAATCAATGGGAGAAGTGAGGTCTAAGGCAGCAGACATTGCATTGAATATATAGAGAGTGACAAGAGAACTTAAAATGGGAACCCCTAAATGCTCAGAATTAACTCTACCAAGACATGGAAATAAAATCACCAACTTAAATAAAGAAAATAAAATACATTCTTCAAAGAAATTACTATAAATATATGCAAAGCTGTAGAAAAATCAGGATAAAAGATTTTGTAAAAAGATGAAGAAATTTCACAAGCAACTTCATATGTTATTGTTAATGCAGAGAGAAAAATTAGATGCCTATAACATGATTTGACTGTATTTACATATTATAATTGGAGGGACGTTAGGTTCTGTTAACAGTAATGTAAAAATGGGCATCGGCCAAGTGGGCTTTTTTTTTTGGTCCCAATTCAACCTGCCAGCAGTTTGGTTTAGAGTTAGTTCAATTCCAAATAGAGAGCAATGTTATACTGATTTGCATTAATTATTAGCCTTTAATGTGATCATCTGCCTTTTTTTATTACATGTTTTGATCAAGGGGCCTTTTCAGGGGGCAGAGGGCTATTCCAATTAGCTAAGTTCAAACTATATCATTTTCCCTTGACCTTTAAATGAGTTTGATTTAGATCCGATGGGGAGGATAGGTAATTGGTTCTTGGGCCAAGCTTAGAATTAATTTTAGATCGCAGTTGATTTCTCCCTAACCCATTTGGGCTTTGAGTCAGAAAGGTGAAGATCCTTATCAAATCGAGATTGTTAATATCTGATACCTAATTTTTTGAGTTGCCTCACACTAGCTCTAGACTTTGACACTTCGTGGGTATGGTTTAAACGGCTATTTAGACTAACCCTCCAGAGTTGCACCTTTTAAAAACCTTTTGGTTTGCCACACTCTAAGGCTAGGCTTTCTTTTGATTGCCGCACTCTATGCTTAGACTGTAAACATTTTCATTCTGTCACTTTTTAGCAAGAAAGAAAAAAAAAATCCCCTTTATCATGATTGCTTTTGGTTCTTAGAGCCACTCTGCTGAGGATAACCCTCGTTGACATGTTACTAGGAATTTTACAAATTTGGTTTCTTTCTAGCTAAGAGAAGAATATATACTTCATAGAAAATGGGTAAAGAAGAGAATCAGAAAGAGAGGGAGTTGGAGAGAAAATGTTCTCTAATTAAAAAAAAAAAAAAAAAAAGAAAGGAATGAGACAAGCGGAGAGGGACGAGAGAGTGATAGGCGGACTTGTATAAGCCCACATTATTGAAGCCATAAGCTGGAGTGGACTTCTATTTTTTTAATTTAAAAATAAATCACAACGGGGATGTAGCTCAAATGGTAGAGCGCTCGCTTTGCATGCGAGAGGCACGGGGTTCGATCCCCCGCATCTCCAGTTTGACCAATTCTTTTGTTTGCTAGTGTCAAATTTCTCCTTGACGGCGCCCTTTTAATTTTGCCTCTCAAATGCGTTGGTCTCGAACTCTCTTCTTCTCGCCTTCACTTTCTTTGTCTAACACTCGTCTCTCTCTATGCGCCATTGCCGGCCGCAACGTTTTGCCTTCAATAGCGTCAAATTAAGTCGGAGAACTCGTCGTAATTTCCAACAGAACTGATTGGACCCAAACCCGGTTCTAATTCCATCTGTTCATCTCGTTGCAAAAGGTATATTCTTTTTTCTAAAGTTCTTCACTTGCTAACTCGATATTGTCGTTATTTCTGGAGATTTAAGTATTTGTCTATATCAATGAGTAGCAGCTTAGCTGAATACCCAGTTGAAATTCTTTGATTAATTCGCTTTAGAAGCAAGTTCTTTCGGATATTTGATATGTTTAAAGGCTTGAAGTTTTTAAATTTCTAAAGTTTATTTTGTTTTTTCCTATAAACAGGGGCTGTTTTACTACATAAATTATGTTAATTTCTAAGCTTTCTAGAGTTGGATTTTTGATTGCCAAAGAGCTATCAAGAGGTATGCTACTATTTTCATTTTGGGTTCATATGTTGTGCTTTGATTTTATGGAAATTGGCATTATTAATATTTGTAGCTTGTTTTTAATAAAAATTGGGACACCCTTTTACTTTCTAAACAGATCATTATCTTTGATTATGGTGGTATATTTGCAGGTTCTTAATAATGCATGATTTGTATGAAATTATATTTCATTTACTGATGACTCCAAATTGCATTCTTTTTGATAGGCCAATATACATATATGTCTAGAACAAGATTTAGACAAATGCCTTGTGGACGATACCAGCGTTCTCTGGTCAGTGATTATTATTTTTGTATATTTCAAAAAGATACAAATATAATTTGACATGCATTATGTATCGCTTTTGAGTCACTGACTGAAAGTGGCCTAAGACGTCGATGGTGGTTAACCCTCACATCGGTTGTTGTTGATAATATTCAAAGTTAATCTAGTGCTTATGTTATGCATGTCCCTCTAAGGTATCTTGAATGGTGGAGTTTAATTGAATGCAACTGGAAAAGATAGCAGTTTTTTGGGATTTAAGTGGAAGTTTTAGTTTTGATATGTAATGAGATTATCAGCAGTTAGTTATGTTACCCAATAGTGGATAACTCTTATGACTTTTAGGAGATGGAATGCGTTGACTACACTAGTCAATGAGCTAATGACATGATTAAGCCTTTCTGCTCTAAGTAAGCTGATTCTGCTGTAGACAGTCTTGAAGATTTATTTATTGTTCACGTAATTGAATTGTTGTGGTTTTAGATGGCTAATTGGTGGCATCTTGCTGATAGGTTTTCACGTGAAAAGAATGGTCTCATATCATATCTACAGAAAGAAATAGTGTGGCAGTAATTTTGTTTACTAAGGGGATGGAATGATTTGATTAATATTAGTTATAGTGACTATTTTTGGGATTTGTCAGAGGGTAAGGAAAATAGCACAAAAACTTGGATGACAGTTATGTGAGAAATATGATAACCACATTGACATACTTTTGATGAGATCCGAATGGTAATAAGTTGGTGGGTGACAATAGTTGCTAGAATATTTGGAAAATAATTTCAGAAACATTGAAGTATGAAACATCTGTGGTTGGTATTGATGTAAACATTGAAGAATGATATACATATAGTTGGTATTACACTTTACAGAATTGGATAAGAAACGGATTTCAGTTTTAGCTATTTATCTGAAAAAAGAAGATTTCATTTTCAGTGAACTATTAGTAAACTTTTCCCATGATCTTTTTCTCTTGTTTATAATTTTTGGACAGCTTGAATTACTGCCAGAAACTAGAGCCTTTCAAGGTGCCATATTTCAAAAGCACCGTGATTTTTCAACCTCAGCTTCCAACAATGCTTCTGAGGGAGGCGATGAACAGAAAGAAACGTAAGTTCTTTAAATAAAATTGTAATAGCATGGTTCCTATGCCTGTTGGATGAAGTTGTGAATCTCTTTTTTTAGTGCTGATCATCTTACATTGGTGAATTATTTGGATCATATAAACATTCAACTCTTTTCTTCGTTGTCTTCATTTTTTTAAATACACACACACACACAAACAAATGAAAGAAGAAATACTCAAACCTAATTTTGATTTACAAGTTCTTGGAGAGATGATGATGTAACTTCAATACCAGTAAGTTATTCTACATTGATAATACATAGGAAAAGCATTCTTTGTCAAGACTTAATATTGTTTTGACATATTTTGGCATGTTTCAAAGCAAACCTGAACGTTGGTGGTCCATTAATGCCTCAGCTGATATGGGGGTAGGTTGCATCCAGAGCATCAGAACCCATTAATAGGAGGACTTGTGTCTATGTACGCATGCATCTTTTATCTGTTGTGGATTTTATTGGTGTGCTTTTCCGGTATACTGTCCATCTCCGTGGCTCTTACACTTTTAGGTGGTTGAAGATTCAGATAGCTATTTCTTGGCATTCACTGACTATGAAAGTGTGGAGTTGGAGTACTCCCAACAATTGTTCTTTAAACACTTAGTGGCTCTATATGCATTTAATCTAAAATTGATTTTTTTTTTTTCATTTTTATTCACATTAGATTATATCATTTGTCAGGATATCTGTTACATTTGTTTCGAAGGATGGAGAAGAAATCCCTATTCGGGTGCCTATGGGAATGTCTATGCTGGAAGCAGCTCATGAAAATGATATAGAGCTCGAAGGCAAGGATCTTCACCTATTTGTGATCCAATAATTTTATAGCATTCCTTGGATCTAACTTTTATCTTCTTGGAGTAATTCATTTACTGAAGTCCTTTCTTGAAGTAATTTTATTCTCATGAAGGGTGCATTAGCAATTAAAGTAGAACATAATGTGATTTTGAAACCTCCTTCTTGTTCTTTTCTGATAAAAACTAACATGTTTTGGTGACACACACAAATGGGTTGAATTACTTTGTTAATTAATTTATATTTCATTGCTAAAATTAATTTCTGCTTGTACTGTTATTGCAGGAGCATGTGAGGGTTCACTTGCTTGTTCAACATGTCATGTCATAGTGATGGTATGCTAATGGCATTATATGTTATCAAACATGCTGTTGATTGGTTTATCGTTATTCGTAATATTCTTTCAACCTCACTATTAGCGACTAAATATTGACTCTTTTGCTAGGACATGGAGTACTATAATAAATTAGAAGATCCAATTGATGAGGAGAATGACATGTTGGACCTGGCCTTTGGGCTTACAGAAACGTGAGTTCATTCATCATAGACCCGCTAAGCAATTTTTTTGTGAAATATAATCGAAATGGAATGCCATCTTCTTGAACTTTTCAGGTCTCGCCTGGGATGTCAAATAATTGCAAGTCCTGAACTTGATGGAATTCGTTTAGCAATCCCTGCTGCCACTCGAAACGTTGCTATTGATGGGTATGTTGCAAAACCACATTAGACATGATACAAAGCGTAACTTTGTTTAAATTGAGCGTAGAGGATCTGGTTCCGGTCATCCAGTTTTGTAGCTTCTCTATTGCATTGGATCAACGAGCATCTACTATCCTCAAGTGATTGTTTTTGTATTAATTATTTCTTACTAAATTTCTAATAATCAATGTGACATTGATTCTACCCATCAAATGATATCAAAGTTCATATGACCATACTTTGTTCTGCACCTTTCCGAATACAGACCAGGAAGCTCAATAATAATGTCATTTTGACAGGTTATTTACTCTGTGCTTAACTATAACTCCATGGTGGGGGCTGATAAACCATAATTTAAGTGAGGATTAGTTCTCAAAATCATGATCATCATGAACCTATGATAAACTAAAGCATCATGGTTCAATATGTATCTTTAGTTTGTTGCCTGGAACTGATGTTCTGGTTGGTAGAGCTCTAGGATGTCACGTCTGTAGAAGTTTTAATCCTGTGGTATCAGATAAAATGCTTGCTAATTCTATATTGCTTAATTCTCTGGCAAGTTGAGATTGAAAAATCGAAACAAATGGATTGGAGTTCAGAAACAAATGAAATACTGGCAGTCAATACTTGCACCTCTCAGGCAATTTACTTCAAGGTGAAGAATTTGTTGAAAATGAAGTGTGAGATAAAGGCACGTCCTATGGTAAATTGTTGGGCAGATTTTGGGTTGCTGTCGTCTGATAGCCTGCTCGGATCCTCTGTCGGCCCACTTCGATGTATCACTATCAATATCCATATTGATGGACTTCAAGGTGATTGACATATTCCCCTTTGATTTTTCTAGTCGATTGTCAGGTTCCACCTAAATGGGCTGATTGCTCCCTAAGAAATCCTAGCTTCGTTAATTAGTACCAGTTGGTACGAGGGCCGAGGCAGTACAAATCAAAAGGGACTGTAAAATGCTTTTGCATTACCTAAACTGCAACCTTACGCTTCACGACGGCATTATTTCTTTACCGTTCTCAAAATTTACTTCAGAAAATTTTCAAATCTATTCACTGTTGAGCATCCCGGAATTAGCCTATCATTAACTGATATTCAGACATTTGGTTTAATGTTTGATACATGTTTTTTTAATCTCAAAGAGTTGTGTTCGTGTCTCTTATCTCAATAATTTTTTATTAACAATTGCGTCAGTGATTAACAATAGAATCTTTAGAGCCTCCCAAAGGCACAAGTAAAGCATGCTTGCTTGATTTATTCATTTGTATTCATAAATCATTTGTCCATATAAAAAAAAAAAAAACTATAAAATGAAGAAATAGACATAAGTAACATCCATATATTCGTATATCATCCATGAAAAAAAATTTATATAAATCTTTATAAAGAAAAAGGTGTGACGAAGGATGAGGATTAAAAGGGTTGAAGTCTTTATAGAGCAAGATGTGATGACGTTAATATTTTCTATTTTGAAATTTAGTCAAATTTTCCGTATTTTGAAATTGTAATAACATAAAACAACATGAAACTGGAAGGAAAAATTACAAGCCTACTAAGGAAACTAACAATGAAAAAGAAATGAAATGAAATGATGTTCCTGCTCGTCCAACAGCTCGTATTATTATTTGCCGGCTGCTTGCTTAATTTGTTTCTTTCAACAGAGATGTGTACAAAGTCAAATGGAGTTGGTTGAGTTTTACCTTTCAATATGAAAGTTGCTAAGCTCTTTCTCTCTATATAAAACAATGGCTCGTCAGCTGTGGTTTTTTTTAGTATAAAGGAAGTCACAAACTAAAAAAATAAAGTTGTTAGTATTATTATTTGAATTATAAATCTGTTGAAAATCACCTTTTAAATTTGAATGTCATGTTTTAAAAGTTGTTGCATTACATGACTTTTATATAACGCTTGATGTCCCTGCAGAAAAAGAAAAACTATGACGGGAAGATAAGTAGGCAAATAGAAACTTAGAAAGAACCACAAACTAGAGTAGAAAAAAGGATACCAAATTCCATCTGATTTACTGTTTTTATTTTGCAACATTAACACACAAATGTCAAATGTTCTTCAGCCCAATCACTATAAAATATGTTAAAATAAAGTATGCAGCATTCATTGAACTTATGAAAAGGATACCTTTTTAGTTTGATTAATGATGATCAACTACTGCAGGAAGCTGTTCCCACAAGATTTGGCCTTAACCTACATATCAAGTTTTTGCACTCTGCCAGCGACGTGTACAACATCTAATTTCGTTCCCACTTAACTTCATAATTCAGAAGTTTTATTCGTTTGCAAGTTTTAGTGCATGGGAATGGGATTTATGGATGTCAAGAAAACACGTTCTGAGAAAAAGGAGAACAGATAGCTATGTGAGCATGAATCCATAAGACAGAATTTGTATGCATTTTTCAACTTTGATCCAGTGCAAATGCAACAAAGCAACAGCTTGAACATTGATTGAACTATCATAATTGCAACAACCATTAATTCAAAAAAGATTAATGATGTTGCAGTGAAGGCAAAGTTTTTAGGTGCAGCAAAAACAAAGCCACATGTTTTTTTTCTTTAAAAGAACATTGAAGTTGTGAAGTACAGAGTCATAGATGAGATGAGCTGGCTTTACTTTCAAATGTACTGCAAAATGCTTGCATTGCTTCTAGAAAGGCTTACTATCAGACAGGTCTAATTTGTTAACTTCCAATTCAATAAATTTAATTCCACCATTTTTATATAAAAATTTGGCAAGTCTTATTATTTCCTACCAAGATTTCATGTCAAAATCCACGCAATTTTATAAGTTAGCATTAGCAAAATTTTATATACATTCTTATAATAAAATAAAGAAACCAAAATATTGTTTTTATTGGTGGCAGATTTGAATCCAAATTTTTGTTTTGTCTTTCTTTTTTTTTTTTTTTTCTTTTAAGGAAAGGTATGGTTTATCTTTAAGAAAATGTTTTTGGTCACCCAATATGAAAATATTAGTTCTGAAAAGGTCAGAAAACAGATTTGATAATAGAAATAAATATTTTGGGGGACATACTAATAGTATTGCCATTACTTGATCTTTCCTTTTACCAACATGCTTGAAGTAGCAATTCTAGCTACTAGTAGTATAATATAGCTTAACATTTGGTGATTTATCTTTATCTATAACAAAATTCAAAAAATAATTTAATTGGTTCACTCAATTATTTTTAAAAAATATGTTCATACTCCACTAAATTAATTTAGCTTCATATTACAACACAAAATCTCTAATTTGTACCCAAAAAAGTATCTATCTACATTTTTTCCTTTTAATTATCGAATGTATTTAGACAAAGAAACGTTTTCAATGGAAATAAATGGGGGTTAAGGGAAAGCTAATTATAGGCAGTGGTGTGCCTGGCCCATATTGTTTTGAGTTTTGACGCTTGTGATATGAAAAAAAAAAAACTGCTTAATATAATCTTCAACAATGCAGAAAGAAAAAGGAAACAGCTTTTTTTTTCTGTATTGAAATGGTAGCCATTGATATAGCAGAGAAAGTGGGAGACATGAACATGGCAAGTACATCCATTATATTATTAAATCTTTGATTGTTCTTGTTATATCCACAGCTGCAAATATAGTTTATAATTTTTCATGCAAACCCTAAAGAAAAAAAAAAAACTAAAAATCTTAACATTCAGCAACAAAAGAATTATTGGAAAGTTTTCATTGTTAGCTAAAATTCAAATTTTTTTTTTTTTTTTTTACCATAGCCAGGGAAAGTTTGCATGATTCTACAGGGAACAGCTAAAATAAAGAAAGGAAGAAATTCACATGGTTTTCACCTGGCTGAAATTATCCAGCTTTTATTTTTTATATTTACTCGCATGCAAAATTAAAGTTTTTCTCTTCCACCAGTCAATCACTTTCTAGACCATGATTTCCCCAATCACCAAATTTTTTTCAACCTAAAAAGCAGAGTGAAATCCTCACAAATCACTGTTTGGCAACTAAGAAAATATAAAGACATGCCAGCCGATTAGCCAACCCAAACCCAAAAAAAAAAAAAAAAAAATTCTTTATGCTATACATAAACATATATAAATTCAAACTCTCACCTTCCCCCCTTACTTATTTGTAAAAATAATTTTTATTAGTAAGGGAATAATATTTTTCAAGAATTTGTTTGGCAAAACCTCAACTACTCTAAAATAAGCACAGACAATTCTCAAAAGCGTTGAATTCGAGTTAAAGTGATCGGTTGGGAAGTGTTTGTCTTGTTTTTATTCATAATCCCTGCCCCATTGCGTCGGAAGAAAAAAAGAAATTTATACAGAACAGTTACGAAAACGCACTGGATTAATGAAGTCGCCGGCGTCGTTTCACTCGTTTGGAAGGAGTAGTTCGAAGCAGTCAAACTATAGTCGTTCATTTGAGTTGCCAGAAGATGTTGAAGATCTTTCTAGAGATGACTACGGCGTTGGTGGAGCAATGTTGCCGATTTTTCTCAGCGATTTACAGAGGAATAACCAGCAAGACCTTGTCGAAGTCACGCTAGAGCTCGAGAATGACTCCATTGTATTTTGCAGCGTCTCGCCGAGTGCTCCGCCGATTATTACGGACGAAAAGGAAGCCTCCGTAACGGCTTCTTCCGGGATTTTAGGTAGGAGTCTTTCGGCGACGTCGAGGATTCGGAGGAAGTTCGCGTGGTTACGTTCCGCGTCATCGTCGAGAGCTTCGTCGTCGGCAGAGATTGATCAGGACTGTAGGATTACAGCGCGTGACGAGAGAAGAATGAAGGCTAAGCTTCAACGAACGAAATCGAGTGCTGAACGAGCGTTGAAAGGGCTAAGGTTCATTAGTAAAAACACCAGTGTAAACGACGCCGAGGAGATGTGGAAACGAGTTGAGTCGAGGTTCGAGTCGTTAGCAAAAGACGGAATGCTTGCTAGAGAAGATTTCGGTGAATGCATAGGTCCGTTCTCTTACTCTGTTTGGCAACTAAGAAAAATAAAAAAAGAAACGAAAATTTCAAATTTCTTTTACCGTTTTTATTACTTCGAACGTAGGGATGGTGGATTCGAAGGAGTTTGCAGTTGGGATATTCGATGCGTTAGCAAGAAGGAGGAGACAAAGAATTCAAAAAATTACAAAAGAAGAGCTGCATGATTTCTGGTTACAGATTTCAGACCAGAGTTTCGACGCGCGCCTTCAGATTTTCTTTGACATGTTCGTTTTCTTCTCTTTCTTACCTGTTTTTTTTAACGGTTTTGATGGATGCCGTTAATTTTTTTCTACAAAAAATATTTAATTATTGTTTATTATTTTCTTTTGTGTGGTGCAACTGATTATTCTAAATTTGATAAAATTTTTGCAGGGCTGACAGCAATGAAGATGGAAGAATCACAAGGGATGAAGTACAGGAAGTAATCAAATTTGCTATTTCAATGTCATTATCTTTGGGTTTTTTTTTTTTTTGGGCTAAAGTTGCTGATTTGTTTGATTATATTTTTTAAACAATATTTTTTAAACACAGCTTATAATGCTTAGTGCATCAGCGAACAAGCTATCCAAGCTGAAAGAAAAAGCTGAAGAATATGCCTCACTAATCATGGAAGAACTTGATCCCGAGAATTTTGGGTACATTGAGGTGAATTATTCTGGACAAAAACTTACGTTAAATTTTGTAATTTTTTTTAAAAAATAATTTAATAAAAATTTTAATAAAAAATTTAAATTTATAAAGTGATAAAATTTAATTTGAAAATATAATTTAAATTTGGTTCATATTTATTTAATGATAAAAATTTTGTTAATATTTTTATTAAAAATATTTATCTAAAAAAAAAATATATTTTTTAAAAAATTTTACACACTTAATTTATACAACGAAATCTTTTAATTTATCTATTTTAATTTTTTATTTTAATTTTTATTTAATCATTTTTAATAGTAAACTTAACGAACTTCTCCTCAAAAATTTTATCTCAATCTTTCCCAGTTATTTCACATGTTTAGCCCAAAAATTATGGGATAACATGGCAGGTTTGCAAATAAAACAGGATTTATTGTTTATTTTTTGGGTCCATTTCAGATATGGCAGTTGGAAACGCTACTCCTACAAAGAGATACTTATATGAACTACAGCAGGCCACTTAGCACAGCAAGTGTTGGATGGAGTCAGAATATAAGTTCTATCAGACCCAAAAACATGTTCCGAAGAGTGTGCTTTAAACTCCGGTGCTTGATATTGGAAAACTGGCGAAGGGGATGGATTTTGTTGCTTTGGATGATGGCTATGGCTACCCTTTTTGCCTGGAAATTCATGCAATACAAAAACAGGGCAGCATTTCAAGTTATGGGATATTGCTTGTGTACTGCCAAAGGGGCCGCCGAAACTCTCAAGCTCAACATGGCTCTAATTATTTTACCAGTTTGTCGAAACACATTGACTTGGCTTCGATCAACTAAAGCAAGGTCTTTTGTTCCTTTTGATGACAACATAAATTTCCACAAGGTAAGAAACAGCTACTAATTAATTAATGGACTTTGTAAACTTAATAATTTATTTAAACAAATATTTTTTGTTCCCTCAATTTCACAGACAATCGCATGTGCCATAGCCATTGGAGTCTTCGTTCATGCAGGAAGCCACTTATCCTGTGATTTTATCCGCCTGACGAACGCTTCTCCTGAAAATTTTGCTCTCATAGCCTCTGATTTCGGTCATGGCAAAAGACCGACTTATTCGGAACTTTTGACTGGTGTTCTAGGCGTGACAGGGATATCTATGGTGATTTTCATGGCCATTGCATTTATATTAGCAACAAGTCACTTCCGCAGAAATGTATTGAGATTCCCTGCACCTTTCAACAGATTGACAGGCTTCAATGCATTCTGGTATTCTCATCATCTTCTTGTTCTTGTCTACATTTTGCTAGTAATCCATGGAACATTCTTGTTCTTGGCCCACAAGTGGTACCAGAGATCGGTAAGAACTTTAAGATCATAGTTATTTTTTACAAGAATGATAGAACTCCATGTCAAGTACTAACTATGCTGGTGTTGCAGACATGGATGTACGTCTCTGTTCCATTGATGCTTTACATAGGGGAGCGTAGTGTAAGAACATGTAGATCAGAACATTATTCAGTAAAAATATTTAAGGTAATTTGATTAAGCTTTTTTTCTTTACTATTCTATTTAGATAAATTTTGTCATAACTATTTGAGTCCAGTGACCACATGAAAGAAAGGAATATCATAAAAATATGATATTCACATCTTAAGGAAACAAAAGGAATTCAGTTTTCTGAAACAAAATAGCGAAAGAAGATTAGAAACTGCATGGTAGTTTTCTAGGTTCTTTTTTTGTTAAGTTTACAACGTTTGTTTTTATGTCATGCTCAGGTTTCAGTACTACCAGGAAACGTTTTCAGCATTTTTATGTCAAAACCGCAAGGGTTCAAGTATAAAAGTGGGCAGTACATATTTCTACAGTGCCCATCAATCTCCCCATTTGAATGGTAAGTGTGATTTTCTCAGATCCCCTGCTTCCTCCAATCTTAAATGGCCTTCACATTGTTTGAAATATCTTTACGCATTGAACTAACACTAAATTCATTTTTAGGCACCCATTTTCCATTACTTCAGCACCAGGAGATGAGTATCTTAGTGTTCACATCCGGACAGTAGGAGACTGGACGCAGGAACTGAAACGAGTTTTCACCGATGTTAATGACTCGCCATTTGTTATAGGCCGAGCTAGATTTGGCCATCTTGGACACATTGATCAGAATGGGTAATTATGTTAGTAGGAAAATATACTTCTTATGGGGCCAAATTCGATTGTGAGAACTGGGAAGTATTAACACCACGAGTTTCACTGTTGCAGCCAGCCTAAGTTGCTTGTTGATGGTCCATATGGGGCTCCGGCACAGGACTACAGGAATTATGATGTTCTGCTCCTTGTGGGTCTAGGAATTGGAGCTACACCTTTCATAAGCATCCTTAAAGATCTTTTAAACAATTCAAGAACAGAAGATCAAATGGTACGTTCAAGCCACGTTCTGTAGGAATCTTTTCAGCATAATTTATAACTAGTTTTCAGTTCTACCAAATCATATCTGTGGCTTTGATGGTATAGGATTTAACCACAGAAATGACTAGATCAGACGACAGCTGGAATAGTCTAGCATCTTCGAATTTTACTGCTAATTCAAGTTTGACTATTGGGGGAAAGAAGAAGCCGCAGGGAACTAGAAATGCTCATTTCTACTGGGTCACCAGGGAACCAGGGTCCTTTGAATGGTTTAAAGGAGTAATGGATGAAGTTGCAGAAATGGATCACAAAGTAATACATGCAACTTTAGAGCAATATGCATGATTTTTACTATGCCGTTGTTTTCAACATTACGTGAATAAATCTTCCAAATTAATGTCTTATTCTTATCTTTTCAACTCTAAAACAGGGTCAGATTGAGCTGCACAACTACCTTACAAGTGTTTATGAAGAAGGGGATGCAAGATCAACCTTGATTACGATGGTCCAAGCTTTAAATCATGCTAAACATGGTGTTGACATCCTATCGGGAACCCGAGTACGTAACTTAAAAAGGATAAAATAATAAACATCCTCCCCAAAAAGTCATTTCCATCGAGTGTTTTTTATTCATCAATTGTTAATCATGTGAAAGTTCCAAAAAGTTTCTTCATTGACAACATCTGTGATTTTCTTTATCTCCTTTCTCACCTACTAAACAACCATTTAAAAATACCAACTATTCAATTATGTGCTTGAGTAGTGACTAACCCTTTGATATTTAATAATTTGTTGCAGGTAAGGACACATTTCGCAAGGCCTAACTGGAAAGAAGTGTTCGGAAAAATAGCTTCAAAACATCCTCATGCCACAGTAGGTAAATACTAAATACAATTCTAGCCAAATAGAAAAAGACAGGTATTAATCAAAGAGCCATAATTTTGTTGTTTAAGCAGAGGAGGACTCGTTAATAGAATCTGGGCGTGGGATATGAGTCCTTAGTCTTTAGATTCTGCCAACCAGACTGCCCATAATTGGCTCCCATTCAATTCAACCTACTACGAGAACTTGACATACAGAATCACAAGGCTGTACGCAACCAACTAATGAAGAGAAATTAACAATATTTATGACTTTTAGTTCAACCTACAGTTGTCATGTTTAATCGGATTTATAAAAGAAAATCAAAAGAAGATAGGCAGGCCTTGAAAAGAAAATAATATTCTTACCGATGAGCCAACAACCTTTTTTTTTTTTGTATAAAACAAAAGTTTTCAAACTCTATGTGGAATATTATAGTGGTCCAAACATTAGCCAACCAATCAGAAAAGTACCCAATTCAGCCAGAGTTTTCTTCTGCATTGCACACTACTCTGTATTTCAATCAAGAAAATGCTTAGCATCATATTAGTAATTTATCTAAAAAAAAGGAAATTTAATTTAACATGAATGGTGATTGTCAAAACTGCAGGAGTGTTCTATTGTGGAATGCCAGTGTTGGCAAAGGAATTGAAGAAACTATCAAGGGAGCTGAGTCACAAGACATCGACGCGGTTCGAATTCCACAAGGAATATTTCTGAGCACCCTTTGCCATTTGCCATTTCCATTATATATAGATCCTTTGAATATATAGTCACAAGGCATAGATATATAGATGCCATTGCCATTTGCCATTTGCCATCCTGTTGTTCTTTCTTGTAACTATATATTCAAAGGAATATAGAGAGAAATATATACACATGTATTCATAACTATAGGTCAGATGAAAATGAAAAATATATAGCATTGAAATATAAACTTTATCCACTACAAATTTTGTAAAATTTCTTACATTTTGTACTAAAAGCAATGATCATTAAGGATCAATAAAGTTCAGATATTGGTGCATTTTTTTTTAAATCTATGAAAAAAAAAAAACCCATTGCAAGTACCATTTCATTTGAAGATTTAAGGAGTTACTGTTACTAATCATCTTTTAATCGCTTGAGAAGCCTGGACGCCCAGCGCCGGACGCGTCGCTTGAGAGTGTAACCGACAACAATTCCAGCAACAAAGCAAATTGCACAAAGTTTTGAACAGGTCCATAGCGAGACTACTTGCCTGCAATTCGAAAGAAAAAAAAATGTTAAGTACTAAAGAAAGACAGACAATTGCAGCAATTCCATTAGAATTCACAAGGTCAAGTCGATCGAAATGAACAATAGGTACCTGGGAGGCCTGGTGGTTAAAACACGAGAGCTATCAGCTGCAGAAACTCCAGCTGGTCCTCCTCCTCCACTTCGAAGATTGTGAGGAACTTCGGGAAAGAATGAAGGAGATCCTGATTTTGTGTCATTTGAGAAAGAGCGGACCCAATTCTGCAATCCCTCCATTGCTAATGCTGAGTTCTCAAAACCCTAAACCCCTCTTTTGCTAATTGTTTGTTTCTTTTTCAATTCAACAATAATCGCATCGCACTCAGGTTTGCTTTTAGAATTGGGCCAACTGAAAATGATGGGTTCGTCCGGTAGGCCCAATTTAACCCTGTTTACAAGGTTTTCGGCCCAGTATAGTTAGCCCACCAAAGAAAAGTGTACAGATTTTATAGAAAAAATACCGTTCACATTCGAAAAAAGAAAAAGAGGATTGGCCCGGATGGTTTAGTTCGCTTTTCCTCGATGTGAAATGGTTGAATTCGAGTTTTGCTGGTGACCCACATAATACATTGATACTATCTCGAATGTAGTTGGAGAGTATCACCCATTTTAACAGTCCAAAGATGCGCATCTTACCTGTTCTGAAGATTGAAACAACATATTTACTCGAATTTATTCTACCCAAGCGAAGAACAGATAGTAAAGTGGATCATCACACAAGGTAATCTTTTGCTGCAAAATAGCTTTTACCTTGATGATTGCCTTCTTCTTTTATGTGCAAAAACCCCTACTACTGAGCTGAAATGTATATGAATTCCTTTCAGTTTTTCCTCATGTCTTCTTTTCCTCAACAGTAGTATGGAAATTAATCCGCTATGAGCTTGATTTGCTGAAAAAGCCAAGTCGATACCATTTAGATATCATTTTTATACGGTTTTTATGAACTGTTAGTTTTTGTAAGATTTACTACACTTAAAATTATTGCAAGATAGGATTTTGCCACTGTCTAGAAGAGGCCATGTCTTTCTTCACATCCAAGGATTAAAACTACTTCAAAGTCTGTAAACCTCTCTAGAAATTTTTTTATTTTTTTTGTTCTTTCCTCCATCTGACACTCGCATATGTGTTCTTAGTATTAGACAAGTGTTTGTTTTTGTATGATTGAAGCCCCCATTATAAATGCTATTGCTGCAGGATTTGGAACTACATTACTATTGGAGAGATATGTCACACTTGACGATATAAGAGCACATCAAAAAGTTTATACATATATATTGGACACCATTTGAGCTCAAAAACTTAAATTATTGAGTTTTTGAATTCATCATGTATATATAGAATATCTCATTCAGATTTTTTAATGATGTAAGATTCTTTACTTATATATGAACCTTATCTCAATAATTTTTTTTGTTCACTTGTGAGTTTTGATCAAGTCTCACCTCGACTTTCTCATGCAAGTAAGTCCTATCAACATCTCCTTTTTGATCAAGCAACCTCACATCTTGGATGGTCTTAGTGCACCTTAGGTCCAACATTCAACCTTGCCTCTCTATAGGTCTAGGTTGTCTTAATGCCCATCAAACTTGAACTCAATCATAGCACCTAACCTTGCTACATGCCTAAGTTGATTCAGTGCCTCTCAAGCTTAGACTCAATCATGGCCTTCTCCTTGCACTCCATCACAAATTGACTCAGTACATCACTTTCTTAGATGTTTCGATTCCACACACTCGTTACGTTTAAGTCAAACATTCGACTCTGATATCACTTTGATGGGATAAAATAACTTCAAACAATATTTAAGTCGAATATGTCACGCAACGAAAAAAAAAATAAATAATCAATCTCTTGTGCGAATCTAGTAAGAATCAAACAAATAAAACTAACAAATAAATCATCAAACCAAAAGCATAAAGACACAAACAATTTGCATGGAAAACATTTTTAAAACAAAAAGTAAAAACCACGGCCAGTAATAAATAATCTCTACTATCAAAATAATTGAAATACAAAGTTCTTTCTAGCTAGAACTAGATGTATACAACCACAATATCTCAATATTAAAGAATCTTGGCAAAGTAATAATTTTACAAGAGAAAATTGGAGAAGTCTTAGTAAATTTAGAGATTAACAAATATTCACAAAATCAGTAGGTAAAAAACTCGAAACTCGATCTCTACCATTTAGATTGGAGAATAATGAGTTGTAAACACACCGATAAAATTGCACCTCAATCGGACAACGAATTGACCATGATTAAACTATTTAATCGAAACTGCATAAAACCCTTTTTTTCCCTTTTTTTTCTATTTTGCCTTACACTCTCTTGTTTTTTTTTTTCAGTCATATAAAAGTTTAAAACCCTATAACCAAGCATAAAAAAACTAAAAAAATCCCTGATGAATGGGCTTTAATTTTAGGCCACCTTCACATGAAGAAAACTGAGTTTAATAAATCTCTTCATTTCTGACTATGTGGAGGGAATCGTCATTTCGGCCATCAAACGACAAATTTCAAGCTTTTCCCTTCGTAGTATTATCAACTCAAAAGTATTATCCTCATGCAAAGACTTCATCTCATCTTGCATGACTTCAACTTACTCTTTCTTATATTTATCTTTCATGACCTCTGCATAATATTCGGGTTCTCTTCCATCAGTTAGTAACACATTCTCATTAACAGAATACTGTATGAAAGGCTGGATCTCTAGTAGACCTTCTAAGTGAAACTTTTAGTTGAACCTATAATACTGGTGACTGTTCATAGGTATTATCACCCATCTTAGCTTGTGTAAGATTGGTATTAACGTCACCAGTATTATATTGGTTATCTTCAACATCTTCAACCTTTATGAGCACATGTGTTAGAAGAACTAAATCTAAGTCAATCAAACCATCATTGCAATGTGAAACTAATGTCTCAGTCTTCTCAATATCTTGTATGGTTTGGTTTTCAATAAAAATAATATCCCCGTTTCTCATAAATTTCTTTTGCACTGGATCATAAAACCTGTAACCAAACTCATCCTAGCCATAACCAAGGAACATACACTATCTAGTTTTGACATCAAGCTTGGATCTCTTATCTTTGAAAATATGAGCCTTACATTCAAACGTATACAAGTAATCATATGACACATTCTTGCCTAATCAAACTCTATCTAGAACATTAAAATCTAGAGGAACACCTGGAAAGTGATTCAAAACGTGTATAAATGTACTCAAAACCTCACCTCAAAAAAATTTTGATAACTATGTTTACGAAAGCAAACATCTTACTTTTTTCATTAGTGTCTTGTTTATCCTCTCAGTTAACCCATTCAACTGAAGTGTTTTAAGAGGTGACTTTTGATGTTTAATACCCTACTATCTATAATACTCATCAAAAGGTCTAGTGTACTCAACCCCATTATCAGTCCTTATGCATTTCAATTTGAACTCTGTTTGTCTTTTAACTAAAGCATGAAATTATTTAAATACATCTTGGTCTTTTAATTTCAAGGTATAAACTCATATCTTTCTTGAATGATCATTCATCAAAGTCACAAAATAGATGAAACCACCAAGCATTTTTGTTCTCATAGGACCACAAACATCAAAATATACTAAATCAAGTATACATGGCTTTCTTAATGGAAAGGATGTCTTAAATGCAACTCTAGTTTGTTCTCCTACCCAGCAATGATCACACTTCTTCAAGGATACATTCTTCACTCCAAAAAGAATATTTTTCCTAGCCAAAACCTTCAAACTCTTCTCGTTCATGTAACTAAATCGCTTTTGCAAAAGCTCAGTTGTATCATAATTATCTACTGCATTGGTAATGGAATCAGATACCTTTGCCTGCATCAAATACAATAAGGAGGGCTTCATACCCCTAGCTACAACCATAGAACCTTTAGTGAGTTTCCACTGACCATCACAAAAAATGTTGCAAAACCCTTCATTATCAAGCTTCCCTACAAAAATCAAATTCATGCTAATATTGAAAATATATTTAACATTTTTTAAGGCCAATGCAGTGCCATTATTGGTCTCCAAAAACCCATCTCTCATACCAATGGCTTTAGCTAAACCATCATTATTCATTCTAACACTCTCAAAATCACCAAGTGTGTAAGATATAAAATAATATTTTTAAGATGTAGCATGAATTGTGGCACCAGTATCAATCACCCAACTAGTCTTATGGAATGCAAGATTAACAACATCATCATCATATAATATAATAAAGTCATCTGTGACAATAGCAACTTTATCGGTATCATTACCATCACCTTTTTTCTTTTCCTTATCTTTGTCACTATTGTTGTTTCTTTTCAACTTTTGGTAATATTTCTTATATGCCTTTTCAGACTATAATAATGACACTTAACATTGGTAAATTTATTGGACTTACTCTTGCTTCTATCTGTACTTTTCAAACTTTTACTATTTTTTTTATTTTTTGTGATTAAAACCTAAGACTGTGAAAAGAAATCTTGTGATTTTCTTCTCATCTCTTCATTCAAAATACTATTCTAAGCCAAATCTATAGTAATAATACCGTTGGGGGCTGAGTTAAATAACGTTGTTCAAATGTCTCCCACGAGTCCGATAATATACCAAGAAGCCATAAGCCATATATCTCATCTTCAAACTTGAGATTCATGCTAACTAACTAATTAATAATACATTGATATCCATTCAAGTGATCTATCATAAAAGTGTCATCCTAATATGCATTATGATAACTTAATCAACTGAAGTGAAAAAAGATGAGAGATTTTGACTCTTGATTGACTTTTGGACAATTTTAATAATAAGATCTAAAACTATGTATATTTTATTGAGACACATAAGTTTGAATTTCTTCTACACGGTGGAATATGTCTCTTCACTTATTTTTTTTCTCTTTCACTTGATATGAAAAACACAGGAAAACCCCCAAAGTCCTATAACAAGGACAATGAATGACTTTCTATGATGATTACTTCTACTTTTCTTCACTTATTAATATAATTTTTTTTCTTTTCATCTTCGGCTGATTCTTTTTTTAAGATACACATGATCAAACCCTGTAATTAGAGAAAAAAGAATGACTATATTTCCTGACCATAATCCCGACTGCCATAAGGGCTAAATGCTTCTGATAACCAGCTCTTCTTCCTCCAAGAGTTCCATCCCATTTCTTCACAGATTTCATCACTGTGGTTGATGCTAAAAGTGGAAATGCAGTGCCTCTTGTGGAACCTGGTTGTCCTCCTCGAGACCTCCATCTCTCTATGTATTTGTTCTAGCATATTTTCAGCACTTGGGAGCTTAAATTTTTCATCGACCAATCGAGCAAGCCATATGCTACGCAGCTCTGATGTGTGAAGGTTCGCAACACTTTCGATGTAACCCACAAAAGCCATGTTCGGTATCAATGGGTGGATTGTGCCCCTGGCAAAAGGAATTTAGATGATGCAAGTCATGCAACATTAGTTAGTGTAAAAAATCTTACCGAAAATTCGCAAACTATGCTTTTTAATGTTTGGTAATTAAAAAAGATCCGATGCAATGTGCTTACCTATACAAGGGGATGATCCCAGAAGGATATTCTATCAAACTACGGAAAGGCTCTGGTAAAATAGTTTTGACTTTCTTCTTTCCATCGTAACCAGTTGCAAGAATTACAACATCAGCCTTCATTTTAGTATTGTCAGCAAACTCAATTCCTTCTTTCCTGAACCACCATTTTGATGATCTTTTGAAAACAATATTTCCCTTATCAGCCTCAGTGAAAAAATTTTCTGGCATGATGGCCATCTGACAAGATGCATAATCTTCCTCAAATGGGTGGTCCGGTTTCAACCCATACTTCTTTAATGGAAGCATCCAAAGCAAGTAGGACTCGATGAACTTCGAAACCCCTCGCCTCTGCGAAGAAAACACCATATATCAGTTTATAGCACAATACTTAAAAAAATAAGGGCTTTAAAAATTTTTTACTCACCACGGGGGATAAGAGGTAGCAAAGGAGGGTCCTGAGAATGCTTTGGTTTGGCCTTTCATGGAGGAACTGAGACGTTCTTGTAGAATAGAACAGGTAGAAAGGCAAACCCCAGACCCAATAATGCGGAACAGTCCAGTGAAGTGTCCTTATCACCATGGTGCATGGTTGCCCTTCTGGCCCTTTAAATCACCATTTGGAAGAAAAAAAAATTAGCAGCATGCATGGCTAATTATATAAAATCAAAGAATTGGTTTCCATTAATTTGCCTTTCACTACACATCTACGTATTTCACCTAAATTTTTACCAAACCAGAGCCTCAATTTTTTACGCCAGTGAATATAAGTAATAATTATAAAGATTGGGCTTTTTTTTTTCTATAAGTTCCCAGCTCCGATATCAAAATCAAAAACACCTGACGAAACCTAATTAAATGTACATATTTGGCCAATTAGGACGAATTTATATATCCTTTTCTTTATTTCTTTGTCCAATCGATCATCTTATCATCAAACTGATCAAAGTCAAAAATCAGACATTGGAATTCTAATGTTATGAATTCAGAATCGTTGAAAACATGTTCAGTCAATAAAGTCCAACCCTAAGTGGTATGCTTTTGATGGTCGTCTTTGACAGTTGACTGCTCTAACTTTTTAACCAAAAACAAAATCCATGCAAATTCGACCTTCCTGAAGAGGAAAATCATGGCCCCTGGCTGCCCTATATATCACACTACTGGAAATTTGACAATTTTTACTTTTTTAATCCTAAATATCGATATAGAGCACATGAATTAGTCCTAGTTTAGAAATAATTGTCCCAATTTTGTATATTTCCTTCACTCAATTAATGATCCACGTTAAGAAATGCACAATGCTTAATGCATCTGAAACTATAAATTACTTGTAATTTAATTTGTTGCAATTAGTATTAACCATCTAATTAATGGATAATTACCTTGATTTGCTTCTGCACATTCTACAGCTAAATCAATGGCTGATTTTTTGTAGCCAACGACTACAACCTTTTTTCCTTTCAGTAGTTGATAAGCAGCATCCTTGTCCAGCTTGCAGTAATCAAGGGAATGAAGGACCTTGCCCTCAAACATCTCAGGCCCTTTGTTGTGTGGGAAATTTGGGATTTTGGGTATGTCCCCATATTTTCCAGTGCAAACAACGACAAATTCAAAGGCATACCACTGAAACTAAGGGCCAAGAAATAAAAACAAGTACACAAATAAATAAGCATGAACAGTCCAAAATACGGATAATATTATCATATCATCTACTATTCTTATACCTCAATAAACCATTTTGGTTGGATTAATTAGTACTAATAAACATAATTAAATTGAGTGCTAAATTAATGCATGCTTGTAATAGGCATGACTATCGAAACTCCTGCACCATGAAAGCCGATCAAGACCATTATGAATTTATGTTGGACTTTGATCGAGGAATACTGGATGTTAAGAATCAAACTTGATTTTCTTTTGTTCTCCTTCTCTTTCCTTTTTTTTTTCCTAGTATTCTTTTCAAAAGGGGCAATTTTTCATTTCTGAGAAGGTTATGCCAAAGGGCAATTGCCAATTATCTTAGTGTTCTTTTTTCAATTAATGGCAATTACCTTTGTTAAAATTTCTTTTATGTAACAACTTTAAGTAAACTAGATGATATAAGTGAGTATAAGGAAAAAGAATTAATAGGTCCTCAGCTCCTTGGCTTAGTTGTCCAGGAGCTCTTAGAAGGATATAAAAGTTTTAGTTTCAAACCAAAACTTACTCTCCTCCCCCATGAGCTATGCCCATACAAAAAAATAATAATAATAGGAAGATTAGAAAAGCAACAAACCTTCAGGTTTTCTGAATCGTTAGTTTGTACAGCAATCTCCCAAACAGGCTGGCCTGGCAATGGGCTCCCATACGCCCCAGCATTTCCTGCAAACTCAACTGTTTCGTGGTGACCAACAAACCGGAGCTCCATCACCTTTGATTTGAACTTGACAAACTTCAATACATCAAAGTGCTTAGCATATGATTCCAAGTAATCCAATATCTCAATATGAGTAGGAAAACTTGGATCATCTCTATCAGGCCATGGAAAATCCGAGAACTCGTAATCCTTACGAGCAGATTGTAGTTTAGTAGAATTATAAGCACAGCTTTTCCAGACCCCTCCTATTGAATCCGAGGCCTCAAAAACAACAGGGTTATGGTGAGATAACTGTTTAGCAGCTGCGATGCCACTAACACCAGCTCCAATGATGGCAATCTTGGAGATTATCAAAGGAGGGTTTTCCTGGTGATGATCAGCCATTAATTATTTTTTGGGTTTTAAATCTTTGAGAGCAAAGTTGGCTAGAAAGGGTTTGAGGGTTTGAAGATGATACAAGCTTTGAGAATTTGCACGTATATTTATACTTGCATGAGATGAAAGAGTCATGGTTAAAAGCACGTGAAGAGGACTTGAATAGAGTTTGGCATATAAAGAAAGGAAGGTAAGACCATTCCCTTTCTTAAATATATATTGTTATTATAGTTGTGAATGTGAAATTGGCTCGTTAGAGAAGGGAACTTTCGCCAAATTTGTGTTTGATTATTTAACCTAGTAAGTGGTCGTTGTTGAATTTCCAGGCATCTTCAAACCCTAATATAAACATGTATATATTTATAATTTGTTCATAATTTCATTTAATTAAAAAATTAACAGCACTAATTATAATACTAGTTGCTTGGCAAAATTTTTTCCTGGAAACAAAAGCATATATATGTAAAATATTTAACCATTTTTGTTTGACAAAGGAAGATCTGTATTTAAGAAATCGAACATGCAAATCAGAATAAAAGTCATCAATCACAATTAGATATCCTTTTCTTTATGAATGTGAAAACATGTCAGTCCTATAATGACCAAGAAGCTAGATCCTGAATAATTAATTAGTAACGATAATAACCTTTTCTGAAAGTCATATTAAGACTAATTACAAATGTGTTTGAATAGAGAGACTTGAGTCGAGAATCACATTCTTGTAAGTTGAATGAGAAATTAGGTCATTTCATTCCATAAATTACGTTAACACAGTTCATAAATTGATATATAGGATAAATTAATAAATTATGTCAAAATTTTTCACCTTCTTTAATGGAATTGATACCAAACCCCAATTTGGTTATAATCAATTTGGCCATGCTGCATTCACATTTTATGTGGATAAATAATAAAACATGAGCAATATTACCCGCTTTTACACTTTTGTAACAAAAAATACATCGACCTCTTAATTCCTACGATTGGAATTTAATTTCTTATAACCTTTTTTTTTATGAACCTCATAGCTTTAAGTACAAAAAAAAATGATATCATGACTATGCAAGATACAATTGCCCAGTTTCACTATTTATTTTATTTCACCATACAAGGTACAATTGCCCAAATCAATTTTCTTCGTAAAGGCTAAAGTTGTGATAAATATATATATATAATCTTCAATTCCTAATCAAAGATGTCATATATATAGATTAGATATATTGAACCATTCCTGGCCAATCTTGAATCCAGTACAGGTGAATTGATATATGACCATCTTCATTAATCCTTCTAATACATGTTATACTTTGCAAATTTAAAATGCCAAATTTTGGGTTTACTTAATTTAAATGAAAACTATAAAATTTGCATGAAAAATGGTTAAATTAAAACTTATATATTAACAAAAACTTAATGTTTAAATCAATAATTTTTAAAGAATTGATTAAATATTACATTCATGTACATAATTTAATCAATATTTGCTAACCAAATAAAGCATATATGTGTTCAGCTTTTTTATTGGAAATTATATTTATTAATTTGGTTTTGATATTAGTCTTATCGGTCAATACGCTTCAATTATATTAAAATACGGTACATCTAAATATAATTTTCTGTATTGAATTTTATATCAGGTAATACCGATTGTTTTTATTACTTTTGATTAATTTCAGTGAATTAGCATATTTTGATTGACACATAATGTGAAACATGTTTTGTAATTTTTAATTTGTCTTTTGTTATTTGATTATTTTTAATCTAATGAAAATACAATTAATTGACAAAATAATGCTTAAAAATTGAATTTCTCTTTTTTTTTATTATAACTAATTTTCTTTTCTACTTTATTTCTTCAAACAAAAATTCATAAGTATTTCAATTTAAAAAGAAAAACAATTGTACTCTTTTTCTAAAATTTAATAATCATGAAATCAAGGTCATTTTTTTTTCATCTCTTTGTTTTTATCTTAATATTTGTATAAAAAAATACTTATTTAAATATTATATGATTAGATTAAATGTTTAAAAATATCATAAAAAATATATGATATTTTTCTTATACTTTTAAACTTATTTATTTGATTTTTGAAAATATTACATATTTATTTTATAAATTATTAATAGGATTATAATGTGCAAATTTATGTATATGTATAATAAATTTATACTAAATCAAAAATTTTGAAATAATATGTCAAAATAATTAGAATTGATATATACTATATATTTTTAAAAAAATTAAAATATTGTCCGATACAACATTAACAACCTTGTTAGAACTCCATTTATTCAAAACTTGTTTTAGTTTTATGAATTTCTATATGAATAGTTTATCCAAATTCCAAAGGTCAGCTCTTCAAAACTTGTTTTAATTATTTTTGCTTTTGATTTTCAATTTTATTTTCAATAGGTTTAATATCATCTAATCATTTTTAATTAAAAATTAATAATTTTCATCTAAGGAACCACGTTCACTAGAATTTAGCTTAATTTTCCAGTAACATTTTCCTAATTGAACAAAACAAGGATTATATATTGTTATATGATCAATTCCATGCAATCCATGACATATATAGAATATCCCATTAATATTCTTTACCAACAAAGTTTTTTTTTTTCTAAAATGGAACATGAATTGAATTAATTCATATATTAGAAAGAGTCAAAACGCAAAATTCTGTTTAATTTTGGGGGGGGAAACAAAGCAGAAAAGCCGGTCATGCATATTCGTTCCCTAAGTAACTGCTGATGGCATTAGCTGCAGAGGAAGTCATCTTGAGAATTTGACCAAACACTAATGATTAAAATCTTGTGTCACTCACTGTAGTACTTTGCAAAGATACAGCTCATCTTATAGGAATATAGCATTAATTTCACAACAGTTCTCTCTGACACTCATGGACCAATTTCCTGGAAAGAATAATTTGCTTGCACAAATCTGCCATTTATTGAGGGGGTTCAGTTTCCCAATATAGAAGTACATTTAGACTGGAAAACGCATTCATGCACCAATCCAAAAAATATATATAATTTTTTACGCTTTTTTAAAATGTGCATGAACCTTGAGTAGCTACAATTGCCGAAAGGGAAAAGCCCTGGAAATTTACAGGAAGCTTGTGGGAATGTTAGGCCCTTGGAGACCACGTTTACACATTTGACAAAGAGGGTGGAAAATTGAAGAGTACACGCTTCTGGAAAAGTTATCAAATTACCTTTCCTTTTTCTACCAATAGCTGGCAATCTTTGCTTTTAACTATTTTTGTTAAAAATAAAGACTCAAATTTCATAAAAAATTTATTTAAATTTTATTATATATTACTTAATAAATAAAAAAATTTATAAAAAAAAAATTTTAAGATAAAAAAAATTTTAATAAGTAAATTTATATATTTATAAATAAATAAAATTTTTACAATATTGATATGAAAAAAAAGATATATAAGAATTATAAAATTTTATACGATAGGTATCTCATAAAACTTACAAAAATTAATATTTTTATAGGTTTGTATATTGAAGTAGGCTATAGAAGATTGAAAAAATTCACATAAATATAGATATATATATTAGAGTAGATCTTTATAGGTTTGTATATTGAAGTAGGTTATAAAAAATTGAGAGAATTCACGTAATTATGGGTGTGCATGTTAGAGTGGACTAAAAGAGACTAAAATAATTCACATAGGTATGATATATAGGTGCACATAAATATTATATATTTGAGTTGAAAATACTTTATAGCACTATAAGAGATTAAAAGGGTCTATGAATATTGCTTGTTGAGTGGTTAATATGATTTGATTATATATTTGTAATTATTTACAATTAGTAAATATTTTTTTCATCCGTAAACGTAAATTAATTAAATCAAATTACATTAAATTATTATCTCTTATTTAATTAATTATTTATTTAATTATATTTTCGTTGACTTAATTGGATAAAGGTTATTTTGCCTAACAATTCTCGATCCTTGGTAAAATAGTCAAGGATATATTGATTCAAAGTTTCAACTTTCATACAAAATGTTTGAGCATAATTGTATTCAAGTTGAACCTTGTATATAATCTTTTTAAGCTCAAATTTAATTTGATTCGACTCAAAATATTATTATATTAATAAATAATATTTTTAGTTAATAAATAATATATTTTTAATATTTTAATATTTAATATTTTAATTTTGTATATTATTAAACATAAAGATTTTTAGTATTTTAATAATAAATAGTATTATATTATTATTTTAGTAATAAATAATATATAATAATATTTTATTATTTTAATAATTAATGTTAAAATAATATAATAATATTATTTTCTTAATATGAATATATTTAATAGTCTCTTATTATTTTTTAGTTTAAAATATATAATTTTATATTTTTATTTATTAAGTTATTTATATTACTATTTTAATAATAAATAAAAATAAAAAAGATTTTTGTTATGATTTAATGATAGATACTTTCAACATAAATTATAAATATTTTAATAATAAATATTATTATTTTAATATTAATAAAAATAATATTTTAAAAATAATAATACTATTTTAAATATTTTAAAATATTAATATAAAAAACAATAAATAGTTTTATTATAAGTATTTTTATATTAACATAATATTTAAATATGAAATATTATTATTAAAATATAATTATTCTTGAATAATAATTTTAATATACTTTTATGATAAATAATTTTTAATATTTTAATAGTTATATTAATATTATTTAAAAAAAGAAAAAATTTCAGAAAATAACCAAATAACAAAAAAATATATATAATTTATTCAAAAAAATATTTATTTTTTCAAAAAATATTTTTTAAAAATCAATTTTAACGAAGCAAATGAACCTTTATTGCAACTTGCCAACTGAGCTTACTAGTAGAAATTTGGGTTTTTGGTTTCTAGTTCCCATCAGCATCTTTTGTATGTATTTTTTAATTGAGGACGTACTAACTAGGTACTGTTTTGCGGTGTCCAAAACCAGGTGCCAGCAG